CAGTGTGTGAGCGAGTTCAAGAGCAATTTAGGTTCCCTAGGTCAGTTCGCCGAAGGTAACCTTGACATTGACCACAATAATACCTGTATTTGTATTACCTTAAACAAGGAAGAAGTATTAATATATTTTGCTTCATTTATATAAATGATGATAACATATGTCTAGCATCTAATAGTTTAAATAATGTTTATTTAGAATAAGACGCAATTTTACATAATGATCTAAAAATATAATTTAGATAAGTTTATCTTTCATTGTACATTATAACATATACTAAAGACAGGGCAAATTAAATAATAATTTTGTGGTTAGGACCTATCTGTATGATTTAAGGCAGAGAGAATAAACTATGAACCCAATTTACACAGAAAAATTCGAGGCGTCAGGATTAATTTATATTATTTATTATATGATTATAAATATGAAAGTGTGATAATTTGTTACCTCTTGGCGCCTTAACGGTTTAACTGATCATTAAGAAATTTGATATACACGTAGGTACTCTTCAGATATAGGTTAAAAAAGATATAAAAAATATAGGCTAGAAAAAGATTTAGGCTGCTTTTTATTCCGGTCAATAAACATATCGTGGTCTTGCAGAAGAAGATACGAGTAAAAGTTAGTTACAAAAAAACACATGGATACAAGACCGTATCATACACTATAATTCTCACTAAAAGTGTAATTTTTTTTTAACAATTTGTTAACATTCTTAAAAACATATTAATACAATAAATTTTTCAAGTAGTATGTTGTTCAATTACGATACAATATTACAATTAGAAGTTGCAGTAACTTCTTGTAAAGCTGTGTAGTCTCCTGTTGAGGATTGCATAAAGTTGCGAAAAAGATGAACTTGCTCGCAGGTGGTCTTACTTATCTTATACAAAAAACATTTGGGCCGGTTTACTCCAAAGAGATAAAGCAATAGATAAAGCAAGTATCTATACCTACAATGCGTATTTAATACTCTTGTACCTAGATATGCGTTACGTGTTATAAATATAAGGTTGTTTGATTGTAATTTAAGAAACTCTGCAACTTTGTAGATAACAATTTTGTAAACGGTAAATTTTGATAAATTAATATGTAAAAATAAGTCAAAAAGGAGAATATATATATATATATATATGTAGGTATTATACGTATATCTTCTTCTATCTATTTACGTAGTTACACCATTACGTAGTTTACACCATTTTTCTTTACGTTACAGGATAATTTTCTTCGTTAGTTCTGATCCGATTTTGACGTTTCTTTTTGCAATGGATAGGTTAAATCCATGTCGATCCAATTCTAATTTTGTAATGTTTGAATCGGTTTAAATTTTTTTTTAAATATTCTTTGTTATGCAATACTCATCTGTTATCAGTTCTGAATTGACTTTTATAAGCTTTTTGTGATTATTTTTTAATGGACATTGTTTATTTTCATATCAATTTAGAATACAGTGTCAATTTGAAATTTCATATTTATTTCTTTCCAAAAAGAACGATGTTGTTTGTTTACTACTCGTAATTGGGTCCAGTAGCAAATAATATTTATATATACTTTTATTTTGATATTATATATAATTATATTTACTGAGACAGAGAAACATGTGTTAACTTAAAATAGGTGCAATATAAATATGATGTCATCAACTGCTCCAGACAATAATTTTACAACCTCATTCACAGGACTTTGGTGTTTGGAAATAGCATTCTGTAAGCTGACGCGACGACTTTCCAAGAGACGAGAGACACAAACAGAAAAAAAATGTTTCATGAATTAAATACAGCACGCGCATCCGCTTAAATGCGTGTCTCATAAAATATCTAGATATACAAGCAAGTACTTCTTTAGGTACCTACCTAAATAAGAACTCATATATTGATATTTATGATCACATATTGAGATTCATATGTATTATTATATGAGTTAGAATAAAGTAAATATGAAATCATATACATACTTGAAAACGATTACCTACTAACAAATTTAATTTGCTTTATACAAGAGTCAACAAACGGGTATCAGTTAAGAGCCTCATTTATGAGGAAATTCGTTTTCATGTTCTTACTTTTAATAGAAAAATTACCTGAGTACCGAAATAAGTAGGTAGTTTAATGAAGTAGGCAGTTAGGTAAACAGTGGATTATATCAATACCTATAGATACTTACTGTATCCACACCTTAAGAAAAACAATGGAAACATCCATGTACCTATTCCTTATTATGTAGGAGGTACTTATATTGATTTCATGCATTCTCATTCTTTATTGTTATGACAAAGAAAAGAGGATGTTACGATAATGCGTGAATTCATTGCAATAATAATATGCACTTATGTACTTTACATCAATGCAGCCAGGACGTCGATTTCAATTTGACTAAGTACATCCTGCTTTCTCGAGATATTCTTGATGTGACGAGGGTTATTTTTTAACAATTCGCCACAGTGCTTCGCATAAATCAATAAAACAGATTGTAAAGATGTTGTCAATTGTTGAATCAAAGAAAATTATAAGGCCCTTTGGTGTGAAGTTTCTAGGTGGTCATCGTTATTCAATAAGGCATCTGCGCATTAAAAATATCTTACCGGACGATGATTTTGCGCTTTTTCTAAAAAATATTGTTACTTGCTATGTGCAAGTAATAATAATTTTTAAATGATTCTAATATGAATTCGAAAATGTAGGCTCGGATTCTGTTTAGAATTATCGAAATGCAGTCAATTATTTTGCGAATTAAGCTATCATCGCTCAGTGTCTAATATGGGGCCATGTATGCTATGTAAGCCGGTTGCTTTATGACTAGGTATGAAAAAATATATACTTGCAGTGGGGGTAACGGATTGTTAGTAATGAGGTCTAGCAGCCGTATTTTAGGCACTATCCTTTTTATTTAATTTATGATAATGAAATAGTAATCCTGCGCTAATAGTAAGCGTAGGCGAAGCACTAGTGAGGGATGATAGGTAAGATTGAAAAGGCAGGTGAGTTAGCCCATTATTAAACTGGAATTTTCCGTGGTTAATACCTGGCAAGTTCATTATAATGGGTCTAGGCTCAGGTGTAGACCTGGTTTCATTCATTGGTACTCCGCCAGTGTAAACCAGTAAAAAACCAAACAGATTGTGTTCCACAAAAAAAAAAAACCGAATTCAAGTATGGCAAAAACAGTTGTTTTGATTTCATAACTGAATTACTGAACCAATTTCGATAAAATTTCTATGGGACCAGACCACTTACTCGCGGTGACGGTATAACGGTCAAAATTTAAACTTTGAGGCCGACAAAAACATGGTAGGAAAAAACTCAATAAAATCTTTATATTGTACCTGCAAAAATGGGTCTCGAACCGTAGGCTGTTGCGCTCATAGAGCAACTATTATTTGATATTTAGGGTATGCAAGGCATCTGACATAGCCAATAAAACTTACATCAACAGAAATGGGAGACATATTTTTAAGATTTGATAGTTCTAATGAAGAGTCTTCACAGATATTAATGTCAATTAAGTTATCAATGTTGGGTTGCCTATAAACATATAACCACTTTGAATAACAATGAAACTATTTTTCCGTGACTGTGCTCATGAACCCCTAACTGTTAGTATGCGATTCATCAATGAACGCACCATGGCCCAAATCGGGGCAGACTTTGCAGAACCCAATCTACTCAGGCGATAACCGGGCAAACGTCTTGAGCGGCATAATGCATATTTCCATTCATTTATAAATAGCGATAAATCTACATTTTTACTCTGAGCGACATAATATTTAATATATGACATACTTATTAGAAGAATTAGGTCAAAAAGTAATATTCTTTGCAGAATACTAACTATCGTGAGCTATATTCTATTGTAATTATTTGTGACGGCTTTATTAAGTGTATTTTGTAACACTTAGTAGGTAATAAAAAAATACGACAATTATCTAATAGCAATTTCTTCCAGCTTAAACGTATAAGTATTTTGTCAAATAAGATCCTGTTTGGAAATAACAATTTCTATTCTGGGTTCTTGAAATTTATATTTAAAAAATATATAATTTTATAATTACTATCTATTGATCGATATCTTCAGGACAGTTTACACAGAATTCACACATTTTTAAGTCTTCCACATATATCAAGTTATCTAGCAGTGAATACCATAGATTATTGTTGTATATCAGTTGATGGATCATTCAAATAATTTATATATATAAAAGAGACAAATATAGAAGAGATACATATATCAACACAGCCGAAATCGTTGAATCTAGAATTTTGAAATTTTGCAATTAGGTTGTTTATATAACGTAGGTGAACAATAAAAAAGGAATTTTGTGAATTCAACACCTAAGGGAATAATACTTCCAAAATCCACGCGTACAAAGTCGGGAGCAAAATATACTATTTTATAAGATTAGCTCATACAGACAGATAGAAACGTAAATTATGTAATATGTAATACTGTGCTGATCATGGTAGGTATTATGACTACGTTAATCTAGTATAGGCAGTGGTTATCGTTTTCGACCATCATAAAAATATAATGATTATATTGACTCATGTAATTACGCATAAGGATAAGTAAAGGATAAACGGCTGTATTAAAATCTGTGGTTTTCAAAGTAAGAACTATGAAATTCCATTCTGGTTACAAAAGTATTTATTTATTTATATGCCTCTGTACATAGTAAATGTAATTTCATATAGATATTAAGTATATTACGGAATGTTATTTTTCTTTGAATACCTTTATACAAACGTGAAGTTTGTATGAATATAACGCATTTCTTATAGTAGTGAAGTTTCTATAATATTAAAAATTCGTAATAGAAAAAGATTTTGTCCGTCATAAATCCTATCATAACAGTTTTAACATTTTAAATGGTATGTCTTATGTAATTTTAACTTCAAATTTGTGTTTCGTCATGCCCCCAAATTTCGAAAAATATTTCATGATAGACCCTCAGATGTATTGCAAGTGTCAATTGTCAACACTTTATGTCAACGTTCTGTCAATATTCATCTACTTATAGTCTCTCTAATCTGTACAAGCAGTTGCCATTGCAACTGGTTCTTTTTGTAATATAAATTTTTAATTAGTCCAGTAATTAATCTATGGTTACCTTTAATTAATATTGACTTATGCCAGATTTGTAATAAATACTTAGGTACAGTTTTGTATAATTATGTACCTAGCAAGATTTTAACAACAAAGTTTGAAGATTATATAATGAAAATCTTTTTTCTATACGATTCGATCAGGTGACAATTAATAAAATGTTCATGCAGAGGTTAAGTTTTCGTGTTTCTTCTTCTGTGAAATATCATTGGAAGTATTGTGATCAGTGTATCAAGTTATATTCAACACAAGTTAAAAATAAACCACTACACAATGGTGGTCCATGGTATGCATATACGAAGAAAGTCGAAGATGGTATCTTAAGTAAGGATCCATATCAGGAAAAAATAATGCAGCAGTTACAAGAGATATACCAAGAAGTGACAAAGTTTGAAAGACCTACAACACAAGGTCGTAGTAGTGGCTCAATATTTAGTTTTTTTAAAAAAAGTGAACCTGAAAGAATTATTGCACCCAAAGGTCTATACATTTTTGGAAGTGTTGGTGGAGGAAAAACGATGTTAATGGATTTATTTTATGAATCTCTTCCGGTAATGTTATCTATTTTATCTTGAAGCTTTGTAAATAATGTTTCCTGTTACTTAAGAAATAAAAGTTTTTATGCCAATAAGTGATTTATAGAGGCAAAACAAAGTTTATCTGGTCAGTATGTACTTTATCCAAGTTTAAATAATACCATGTCTTATTTCAGATAAAAGAAAAGTTGCGTGTACATTTCAATTCATTTATGCTGAACATACATGCTCGTATACATGAGCTAAAAATTAAGTCTGGCAAAGGTGCAAGTTCATTCAGAGATGAAGGTGCAAAACCCTTTGACCCTATACCACCAGTAGCTGCAGATATTACACAAGAATCCTGGCTTATATGCTTTGATGAATTTCAAGTACGTAAAACCTTATTATAAATGTAAAAGTGAGTTTCATCATTACATTTAGAATATTATAATATTTGGCATAGAGAAGGATATAGGCTAGCTTTATCTAGATCATATAGTATAGCCTGTTAGCATATCTAGTAATAATTACTATTATAATATTGCAGTTATATTTTATTGGTTAACATATAAATTAATTTTGAATTTCTTGTCTTGCATATTGTAATTTATTTAATTAAAATATATAAAAATAATTGTGCTATATGTTCATGAAAAGTGAACTTAATCTTATTTTGTGGCATGTTTATTGAATTTAGACATAATTACAGGCATAATAAGAATAAGAATAAGAATAAGAATAATTTATTTGCTCGAAATGTGGTACAAAGGTCTTTAAATGGTAACTGAACTACACATTTCGCCTTATCTAAAGGCATGCAAATTTTGTTTTAGCACATGTTAAGTAAAAGTTTATCAATTATGTATGTCCAAATAATTATTCTAAATACATATTAATTGTTACATTGAATTAGTTAATTATGTCAACATTTAAAAATAGTCGATATTATAGTTATGAAGCATTAAAATTGTACATGTCATATTATTAATATTATTACGTAAAATGCATTCTTAGTCTAATCTGCCATTCAGACTTACAAATTCTTTTATCGTGTAAAAACACTTTTCATTAAGCCAATTTCGTAGTTTTCTTCGGAAAATTTCAAAGGGCATTTCACGAAATGACTGGGGTATCTTATTGTAAATATTTATGCACATCACAAAACAATTTTTATGATAAAGGCTACTCTTACATATAGGCATGTGTAGTTTGGTAGGGTCCCTTTTGATAAATTTATTAATTTCACAAATTTTATTAAATAACTGTGGGTGTTTTTTAACAAAGATTCCAATTTCTAAGATATATAAACTCGTAACTGTTAATATTTTTATATCTTTAAAATAGTTTCTACATGATTCCATAGGCGCTAATCCACAGATAGCTCTAACGCATTTCTTTTGTGAAATGAATACTTTGTTAATCAATGTTGCATTACCCCAAAGTAAGATTCCATATCGCAATATAGATCCAACGTAGCCATGATACGCGGTAAGAGCTGCATTTTTACTGGCTGTATTGCGTAGACGTCTGAGTGCATATACAAATTTATTAATTTTAGTACATAACACATTTATATGGATCTTCCAATTACAATTTTCATCTAACGTAATACCTAGAAATTTTACTACATTATCTTTGGAAATTAATTTGTTTCGATATTTTACTGTTAGGTTCTTATTTGTGGAATTGTAATTAGAAAATTGGACATATTTTGTTTTCTCTGTATTTATACATATTTAATTGAATAACTTAGTTGCTGTCTAAGGCATGTAATGCCAATATGACTTTAAAAAGTAGAATTTATGTCTATAATTAGCAGTTTGTAGATTGTCTGATTTTTGTTTATCAATGTTCAGTTCATTTATATAGGTTGGTATATATTTCATGATTTTAAAGATTAAAAAGGTCAGGGTAAGAGAAATAATGCTTTGCTTTTTTCTTTTAGAAATGATGACAGTCTTAGCCACCTTGTTATTGGCAATTGAATTTATAAATAGAAAAAAGGCAATGTAGGGTAATGTAAAATGCTAGTTTGGCTGTAATAATATCTCACAACTATTAGGTGATAGACCAATAATGTCTATATTTTAAAACAAATTCTATTATATTTATAGGTGACAGATATTGGGGATGCTATGATATTAAAACGTCTTTTTACTCAGTTGTTTGATAATGGCTGTGTGGTGATAGCTACGAGTAATAGGAAGCCAGATGACTTGTACAAAAATGGTTTACAGAGATCTAACTTCTTGCCATTCATACCAGTGTTAAAATCACATTGTAATGTGCTTCAGTTAGATTCAGGAATTGATTACAGATTACGGGGAAGTGGCAATAAGTATAGCAAATATTTTATGTAAGTGAATTTAATTTTCTATAAAGTTAAAAAAAAATATTACTGTGTTTTAATCGCAAATAAGTAGAAGTTGTACTGAAATTGGGCCCAATAATAGTATTAGGCCCATTTTCTATTTTTGGTCTTATTAGGTATTCTATTTTAGGTCTTGACATGATTTTACTTATTGATCAAAAATCAGAATAGATATTTTGTTATTTTATGTAGTATTTAGAAAACATCAAAACAATAATTTTCCAACAATTCAATAGAAAAATGATTTTTCAATATTTTTAGGAACAGTGAATTAACAGAAGAGAACAATGCGGTAGACAATTTATTTAAATTTCTTATTTCTAAAGAGACAGATACAGTCAGACCTAGAGTTATAAACATTATGGGCAGAAATGTTAAGTTTGCCAAGTCTTGTGGAAGAATTTTGGATTCAACTTTTGAAGAACTGTGTGATAGAGTAAGTGCTTTTTTTTTAATAAAGCAATTATAACCTTATCTATTGTGGAGTACTAATAAAAATTTAATTTCAGCCTCTGGGTGCCAGCGATTATCTTGTTATTTCAAAAACATTCCATACAGTGTTTATAAGAAACTTACCTCAGATATCTATAATAAAACATAGATCTCAGCTCAGAAGATTTATTACACTTATAGATACTCTTTATGATAATAGAGTAAGGGTAAGTGTTAGTTCATAAATGATATTGTTTATTTACATCCTTATATTTCTTGGTTTTTCTAAGTTAATTTATGGTAGTATAATGTTGTCAACTTTTGTCATGTTTTACATATCTTTTATAAGTGTATTTTTAAAATTCCACATACTTGATACTAATATACCTGATACTAGTAAAATAGCGAATCTTATTGCCTTTTGTTACATTTGAAATCCTGACTGATATTCTTTAAAAAAAACCCCACTCAATATCATAATAAACACATAAATATGCAAAAAATATAATATACTTATGTTTGTCTCTGATGACACTATCCTTGGTATTTTGTTACATGTTGCCATGTAGACACGATAGATTTTCATAATAAATTTTGTAAATTGTTTGCTCCAACTTGAGAGATAGGATAGTTTTAATCCTAATATTTTTTTTTTATACCAAACAATGTTTGCTAACAATAACTAAACATTGCATGTACATATATGTATATATATAGTAGCTAGTTATTTTGTGTATTGTGTTTATATTTTCTTTCAAAAATGTTGTGTACCTATATAAAAGCTTATTGTATATTTTATAGGTAGTAATAGCAGCTGATTGTGAGCCTAAGGACCTGATGAAAGTAAATGAGGAAAAAGAAGTGGGTGATGCTGATAGAGCTCTTATGGATGATTTGAAGATAACTAAAGATTCTGTAAGTACATAGAGTACAAGCAAATCTATGTATTTTATATAAACATTAAAATGTTTCTAATGTAATTTATCACAGATTTACGTTATTACTATATTGATAAAATTTGTACTGAAAAGAACTGTGCCATTATTTGATGGTTTCAGAATTTTTTACTTCCATACAAATATAGATGAAAACATGAAAGTAGCAGTAACTTAACTCTTTGCACAATTCACACTAGGGAATCTGAGTACTTATAAAAATTCAAAAAATTAAAATCAGTAATTTCCGATGGATGTGCTGGTTATCACATTGATAACAAAAAATAATAAGAATGTATGAATATATACTCCATCAGTCAAAATCTAAATGAAAAGAAATAACTATAGATATATTCAGGCTGTACAATGAGCTCCCTACTGTGGTTTTCCCTAGAGACTACAGTATGAGGTTCTTGATAACGGCAACATGCACGTAACACCACTAGTCATGCAGGTGTCTATAGGTTATAGTGACCATTTAGCATCAGACAGGTTTCATATGTATTCTTTATTGCACTTGTAAGTTAAATATAAAATAATGTATTTATAAATTTTGTAAGCAAGGGTGGACTTATCTCTGAAAGAGATCTCTTTCAGTCAACCCAATACAGTTACAAAGTATTTCGTTAGCAGGCAGCTAAAGTGCTACAACTATTAATACGTAAACAAATGTACAGTTAAATAAAATATTAACATATATAATAAAATATTACATAAACACATACACTATAAATACGTATAATACCTACCTACTTATATAATAAATGTTAAAATAAATGAATATATTACTTATATTATAAATTTATTTTAATGATTTGACAGTTCAATTAGAAAAATAAAAAAAAATATATACATAAGGGAAAAAAAGTATATTTCAACCTTTTCTTGAAAGAGGTAATAGAGGGACTCTCTTGTATATGGGAAGGGAGTTTGTTTTATTTTTGGTTTTATGTTTGTTTGCAACTGTTGTGGTATAACATACATATATTTTAATCGTGACTTTTAATATATAAATAAAACCAATACTACTGCCAGTTAACAGTTATACAATATATTGTGAGTTATATACTTACATTTCAAGACAAAGTTAATTTTAAAAAGTATAAAAATATCCAAATAAAGCAATTTAGACACAACCAAGGACTTCTAATTATTTCTTATTTGATCATTTCTTATTTTTATCTCACTTTTCAGGAAGATGCAAGAGCTGCTATATTCACGGGTGAAGAGGAAATGTTTGCTTGTGACCGGTGTTTATCAAGAATAATGGAAATGCAAACTGAGGAATATTGGGAGAAATGGGGAAAACATCTAAATTAATGGATCAAGAATAGTTAATATTAGCTAAATAAATTATTTAAATTAGTAATTTTTTTTCACCTGCCATTACATTGTACTTGGGATATACTGTATGAGTCCTAGATTCATAATGAGTAATCAGTTTTATTTTTTTAGGTATTATATAATACCTTGATACTACATTGTACCTTGTTGATGTACAGTCAGTATTACTCAACATTGTCATAAATATTTATTTCATACTAACTTTATTGTTTGTGTGTGTATAAGGGTTACTTAATTTTGACTGTTAGGTTTTGATTACGCACATACACATGTTAGTATTTTTTATGTGTATGTCAAATATTTTTTTATTAATTTATTAAAATTTATATAGACATCTAATGTCATGCATAATAATGCCAATTGATTCGACTTTATTGTTACGTACCTGTTTAGTGTTGAAGAGTTTTATTTTGTTAACTATTTATTTGAAATAAGAATGAAATAAAAGTTATAAATATATAACGTGGTTTATGTGTGTGTTAAAGCACAAAAGATTCGTATGGGTCGACGTTCAACGGCTTAGGTGACCCCATATGCGAAAATGTCATGTGTACATGCATCATCTTTGTCATGTGCTACCTTTCTTAAGGACAAAGGTGTTGCGCCTCCTATTCCTCTTCAGATTTCAGAAAAACCAGAGGGGACTTTGTACAAAAGTCATTTGCTTGGGTACTTTTGTCCCGTTCGTATTTCTACCGTGAAGCAGTTGTGTTTGCATGACTGTGTTTCGGTTTGAAGGGTGAGATGACAGTGGTAGTGAATTTACAGAGTACAGAGGTATAAATAACACCTTAGTCTTTAGGAATGGCAACACATGGGGGATATCATGGGTGAAACAGTATAATCTGTTTGTCTGTTTTGTTTGCCATTCTAGTTGAATAAAAAAAGAAACAAATACGCAATAAATGCAACTTCAGCCATGATAAAAAATAGACTAAGATTGGAATATTCTTAATCAAAACGGGTTTGAAACTGATAAAATTGTCGAGTAATATCCAAAAAGAAAAAAATACGTTATATTAAAGCTAGCTACTCGTAATCTTTGAAATTCTGCTTCATTCCTTTCAAAGTCATAACCTGATAAATGTTAAAATATTTTTTTAAAACAAATAAGTGTACGTCTTTTTAACGTCGAATTTATTGGGTATGTAATAGTATGCATCGTAGACAAAAGGTTTAATCGTACATATGACTGTAATAGTCTTGGTACACCTGTATATATGTCTCTTTCTCCGAAGGTGTCATTTGTGCGATAATGGTGTCATCTATTTTTGTGAGTGGTACTGCTTTGCCGTTCACCAGCACTGTTGGGGCATTGTCCTCTGAATCCGAGTCATCGCTTTCCATTTCAGCTGCAATAGATACGTATTTCAATTTAATGGAAGTCATTAGGGACTGCTTTGATAATTAGCGATGAATGAGGTGTTTAATCATATAGTTACTGACTAGATTAAGGATAGCACTTGTTTAGGGACTTATTACACTGTCAAATTATCGTCAGATAATTTCATAAAAACGGGGTAGATACTGAGTTTAAATCACAAGAATTTGAAAATTTTGGACATTGAATATATAAAATGTCAAAATAATTAAATATAATTGGGCATACAACATCATTAAACATATAAAAATATGAAATAAGTTGGTGGATTTATAATATGAATTATAATTGACTATAAGAAATAAAAACGGAAAATGTTCTTACCGACAGCAGCCAACTCGTCTTTGAGTTTGAACGGATCTTTCGACTCGTCATCACTGGAGTCCGAACTTTCTGCTTCTAAACCTTTTAACGCACTCGCAGCTGAACTACCTGTACAAATGAAATGCAATATCGTAAATTAGCTTGGCTTCTAAAAACTTGATATAAAGATAGAAACAGTTTTATTAGCATCTTCCTTTTTAACTTTAAGTAATCGGTCACTTTTTTGAAAACCTTTTGATGTCGCTAATAGTAGCGATAATTATATAGAGGTACCTGTGTTTTGTTTCTCGTGAGCAAGCAGAACAGACATAATATCATCGTTCTTTTCTTTTCCTGATGTTTTAGCATTACTTGCGTTACTTGCTGCTTTTTCGAGAGCGGCATCAGTAGAATGGACGCTGTCGCCCTAAAAAAATATTGTCATATATGATACTAAAACATAATATTAACACACATTTAATAGTTAGCTGTCAATTTGAGGACCTTTTTAGTGAAATGGTGGACGCATCGCTTTGCATTAATGAAGTCCCGAGTTTGATTCCCGGTCGGGCCAATTTACGAAACAAACTTTTCTGAATTGGCTCGGGTCTGTTCTTTACCTGGTTCCTCATAATACAGGATATCCTAGTATGAGGGCTAGGCAATGGGCGTGATTGTGTGGCACATTTCAAAAAAGAAAATAAAAAAAGGTCGTATCACTATGAATTAAGAAATTAATTTACCAGAGGGAGACTGTACAAAAGTCGTTTGCTTGGTGTTTCGGTTTGAAGGGTGGGATATGACGTGAATTTACAGGGTACAGAGGAATAACACCTGAGTCTTCAGGAATGGCAACGGGTGGGGGGTATCAAAGGCGAAACATTATACTCTGTTATGTCCATGGTACTGCTCATGCCTATAGGCGACGGTTACCACTTTTCATCAGGTGGGCCGGCAGCTTGTTTGCCATTCTATGTTGTATAAAAAAAAAGCACAGTGAAGAAGGTATAAGTATTATAAATCTTTATAAGAATTATATAATCTTTTGATGACTTATAACTTGTAAAGTTATTTACGAGTATAGCTCACGATTTAAGTTTCACCTTTATAAGTATTACTATGTTTTTTAAAGTAAATATAAGTACTTGGTCATTCGTGACGATTGTGCTTTCCACCATCCAAACGGGACGTTCCTTCCTATGCGCCAAGGCGTCGTTGGAGTTATCAGCCTCGCCGATTGTAACGTCGACGCGCGTTTCCTCAACCGCGAGGCCTTGATTGCGAGTCGCCTCGCCCGACCACTGTTCGCCAGGCGGCCGGGCTAGTGGCTGCTTCATTGTTAATCTGCAATATTGTTACAAATTTTTTTGATTGATAATAGGCTGGTAAATGCGCTTACGCTGTCGGTTTGCTAATGCAAATATATTTGAGTTGGTACCCATGTGGGATGATAGGTGAGGATAAAATCCGATAACAAGAGTAATGTATACTAGGCATACCTTGTCATTATCAAAGAAGATGATTGGGTATCTATACTGTTATCGTTACTCAGGTTACCTACCAACTAAAAACTGACCGGAAATGACCACGTTAATGATAGTAAAGTTGGTAACAGTGCTATCTAGCGATTATTGTTAAAACTACAGAAGTACTACTATGGTAACGGCTTACCATCAGTTGAGCCGTATGCTTGTTTGCCACCTCAGTGGTATAAAAAGAAACATAATTACCCTCTAATTGTGTTTATGTCTACTGGTTCAGGCTCCAATATTTCTGGTGCCAATTTGATTCCTTCCACTTCACGTAATAACACGTATAATGTTTCCAATTGTTCGTTAAACTTAGCTAGCAGTAACCTACAATCTTTTTTTGGTAGTGCGGATTGGTCTTCCTCTACGACTTGGTTGCAAAATGTGCATCGGAATTCTTGAGTCATCATGTCGTAGAGCTGGTCGGCCTAAAATGAAAATATTAAATATAAATGTCTTTTTAACTTTGAAGAAGAAAAATGTTTATTTTTTTCTTTTAGAGTTGCAATAGAGAATCTTTTTCATCTATTCTTCGTCTAATACTAAAGAATATTTTTGTGGATATAAATAAAGACATTTCCTTTCCCTTGGGTGGTGTGAGAGGCGATTAAGGTAACTTAATGAGGTGAGGTTTTAAGAGGGACGCCGTTGCCCATCTCTTGACCATTAAGTTCCCGTAGTCGTTTCTTATATTATGACCACACGGCAGTGTCTCTATATGTATATATTTATATTATATACATTAATAATCTTAGTCATATCCAATCATAGTTATCAATCATAGTTAGTAATTTCCCAAAGAGGGTTGACGTCAGGCAGGCAGCCGGTCGTAAAACTATAAGCCAAATCTTTTTTTAATATGGATAAAAATATATTACGTCAACCCCAAATAATAATTGGGATAAGGGTAGGAAGATGATGAATAATCTTAGTCATAGAAAATGAAATCTATAAGTGTAAGCATTCTTATTTGGAGGAATGTGACACAATTTGAGATTAGGTGCAGATTATTAGTTATACAGAACAGTTCCGCTTACATGCATCTATCATTATTTTTCAAATAACAATATATATTAATAAATAATAGGTACCTCTAGGTCTGTGAATGTCTTGCCGCAAGCGGGGCATTTAAAACTGGCGCGGCTAGTGGCATCTCGCTCTTCAGTTTCCATGCGTTTGCGCATAAGGTCCAATTTATACTTGACCACGTTCACAAATGTTTTATAGTTTATAAAATAATAGTTAACCTTCTGTGCTTTGCCATCGGGACCTGAAGATTTTTTCTACGATATTACAAAATTTTTGAGTAAATTCAAATTCTATAGGTAGATATTATATTTACACATTACCTGTTTCCATTTTTAGTCTGACTTGGATGAACTTGTCATTTTTTAAGGTCGCTATTCTAGCACGTAACATCTTCCTCTCAAATTTTAAAAGTTCACATATGTCATCTTCTTTCATACCTGGACAGCGAAAATATCATTTTTACCCTACTACCAACGAAAGGGGGGTTATGTTTTTTGGGTGTTTATATGTAAGGATTTTGCCTTAAGCGACTTGATTTTAACAAATGAGGTGTTATCATTTGCTTATAATTCATGTTATTATAAACAAGCGATATTAGTTTTACTTATGGGAATGATAAATTATCTATATCATATCTTAATAAACCGTTGTTTGGTGACTGGTACTGACACTCAATGAGTGGATCATTGAGTTTTTCAGAGAAAGTTTGTTTAATGTTAGAACATTGCAATATTGTAGGTATATTTATATACCTTAGGTCATAAAACATTGGAATTAGTGTACACATAGAAGTATATACTTACTAGATAGTTAAATTCTGTTCAATCATTTGTTACAGTCACCTTGTTATACTTACAGGGGTTTCTCACCAGCATATCTACAATTAGAGCATCTTCTATTGTATAAAATCCACGTACAACAAGTCTTGCAAGTTGTTTCAGACTACTAGGCACCTCCGTGACCAGTCGTTCTTCCGTCATAATACCTGAAATATTTATTATACTCTTTGTACTAACAATACATTATATATTCGTATATACTAACATTTCCTTTAATGCAACCAGAAATATTTCATGAGTTCAAAACATGTTTTTCGTTCCTCCGCGTATGTCTATACCAAGATTACCAGGACAACTATTACTACACCATTTCTCTCGCTACTAGCGTCATTTTCAAACTTCCTCGCACGTGCTCATTTCTTATTTTGTCTTTTCTTGTCACTCCACACATTCATTTTAATATTCGCTTCTCTGCCGCGTGTATAAAAGACGATAGGTCTCATAATAGATTTGTAAATTTTGTTCTTCCATTTAAGGACCATTTAGAAAGTGGAAATATGAACTATTTAAATAATTAAAAGTTGTTCAGAATGTTAATGTATTAATTAGTATCTACGTGACTAAAAAGATAGGTAAATACCTACTTGAAGTAACTAATACCTAATTGCATTTTTTTATACAATGACAACATACTTTCCTAGTTTTTCAAGTTTTCTTTTATCACTCAGATTATTGTCCGAATCAGTTTGTATTATATATAGCCTCACATACACGTAATACACACAAACAGAGAGTTAAGCTATATATCAGGGGTGGCCGACTTGACTAGAGCCAAAATGTACTGTTTATTGACGAAATCCTGTGTGATTTACCAATTACATATTTCTTGAAATATCAAATGAAATGACATATGTAGTTCAGTACATAATTATGTAGCATTGTAGTATTTTTTATTTTATTAAGAGGGAAAACATAAAAATGAAAATTATTCTTAGTAACTACTTATTTATATTAGTATGAGCATAGCGTCTGACCATCTTCCGCTAGATAAGCAAAATATATTTTTTGCCTTGCCACGATTATCTGGAGTAATAGTTGCGATCGACCGGTTGGCTAGTCCTGCTAAATATAAATTAAAGCTAGAATAGCTTATTTTCTATGTACAGTTTAGTTAATGGCTATACTGATTGACACGCTGTAAAAGTATATTATTTCTTCCTTGTTAGATTAGTACTGATTAAAAATATTTTTCCTATTTTGCATTATTGAATATTAAATATAACTAAATAATAAAATACTAATCATCTCTCAAACAATTACACAAACATTGGTCCCAAATGTTATTCCAATTTTGTTTTTGGGAGTACTTCAATAAAATACATTTTTTTTACAATTTTTTTATTTCATTTATTTGTAACTAAAAAGTTTGTCCACTTCACAAAATATCAATTTCAACAATATTTTTTGTTTAAGTTTACAATTCGTACCGCTAGATGGAATTATATACAGAAATCATATTTTTATTTATATTATAGAAATTCAGAAAACCACTAATTTATATTTCTAGAAAAGTGCATAAATAGATGGTGTTCTGAAATTCGTTATTATTTTTGTTGCGTGAATTGTATATATAGAATTATATACATATTTATATACAAGTAGTAATCGAAATCGTTAGCAGTACTTAAAACTAAGAATTTACCCATGCTATATATAACATATTAAGATAGAAATGTCGTGAATCAATAACTACAAAAAATTTAGTTTCTTATATTAACTCAGCCATTGAACTTGTCGTGTAACTATTGGAGGCTCAAATTTTATTTGTTGTTTTTCGACTCATATTTCTTTGGTGAAAATGTTCAGTTTTGTCGGTTGACCTCTCCCTTAAAACGATGCTAATGATTTTGATTTCGCCTTGTATATCACAGTTCACGCGTTATAGGTTGAAGTACTAAAACACGACACTAAGAAGGATTAACAAATATCAATAAAGAAACCGCACAACAAGACAGTTGTCGCAATCCTATAATACTATCAAATTTGTAAGATTACAAAAATTGTATAACCTTTTTCACGAACACCATGATACATAATGACAAATAAAGATTGTTTTGATATAATATTGCAATAGAAGTATTGTAGTACACAATATTTCTATTGCAATATTTGATAAGATTCAGTTAAAAAAAATTTAAAGCCTACTTCGAAATTATACAGAGTTATAATACCAAACGCGTCTATTTCTCGTAGTTTTATAATATCTCTGAAGGAACAGAGGGCAGTGTGTGTTTAACATAAATTTACGTCTCTACTAAGCTAGTGTTTATAATCTATAAATAAATTTTATATTGAAAACGTATCTGTGATTCTAGCCATTGTTTTTGAAAACACAAATTTCCATGCATTATTGCTGTAAACATGAACGCAGCTATAGCATAAATCTTTGTACCACTTATGCTAGTCAATCTGATGTATAAAAAAATCTTGTATGCAATACTGGAAAGTTGTAAGTTGTGTTGAAAATTTTATGGAATAAAGAAAATTAAGCAAAAAAATATTTTAATAAAATCAAATTAAGCCTTGACTATGGCTTATATTTGTTTTTTTTTTCTACTTAACAAATAAATCAAAATCTATTTAATTTCAACGACAAACATTAAAATAAATATAATACATATAGAAATTAATTATGAGTTTTATATAATCAGCTACAATAGAACACTACTGCATTTCGTTGTATATGATGAAGTGGTAAATGCATTATGATCCACGTTTATTGTACCTATCAAGTATAAAAAGCGACCTTATTTTCTTGATTTTTCAGTAATTACATACCATATAAAATAGTCGTAAATTGCAATATGTTTTTCATTATTTCTAAGTTTAATGAAGACATTATCTATTAAATGCGCTATTAAATTCGATAAAAAAAACATAGATTATTATGTCATTAAATTTTTATTATAATATCTGACTATACTTCAATATGAAATATCAAGATAACGAGAAAATATGGATAATTAAAATTAGCGGAAGCAATTTTTTATTTTAGTAAGAACATTTTTTTTTCATAACTTTATAATTATTATACCTGATGTTTGTCAGTCAATATATAGTGAATAATTGAATTTCAAATGAGTCGGAGATTGATCATTATCGTAATATACATAATTAAGTATGTGTTAATATGATACAGTGGGTCAGTTTTGAAGCATCAGCGCTATTCTTTATCTACAAAATTTTCATGCAGTCATGATATTAGACTGGTGAAAATGTTATCCTCCTTTGTGTCGCGCAGTCGGGTATAAATAGAATAAGAATCGTAGGTAACCATATATCCTAACACTATTGAGCTGCAATTAGGTAGATAAGTACATAATTTTGTGTGTTAATGGCATACACATGTGTATATATGAAAAAAAAAACTAAATATTAAAAAAATAATTGAGAGCCTATTACAGCAGTCTATATTTATATTTGTGTTTAATATTATATTGTGGCATTCATAATACAATTTTTCATGACATTGATAATTGAAAATTACCAATTATATAAAATATTGTATTAATTATCCTGAGTTCAGTCTATGTATCTATAGCCAAAGCTACATATATAATTATGTAATATGCATCAATGACATTGGTAATTATAAATTACCCAATTAAAATTAATTTGAATAAACTATTAAATTTTTATCAGTTTTTCAATGGACACTAACAGAAATATAAGATTTTTAATAATGATATTATTTCTATACTAAATTGTAGTGGAAGCTTAATATAAAATTTTAGGTACATAAAAAAAAATCAGTCTTTAAAAGAAATGTGTATACTTAATAAAGGGAATATTAAACCAATAAATGTATTATGACAATGGCAATTTAAGAAGAAAATTATGTATAAAAACATTGTAACAGTAAAATATTTTCAAATAACAGAGATAATTAAAATTACTTTTATGTAAAAAAAAAAATAATTGCTGCCATTAAATGACAATGAGCTGCTATTAAATATTAAACGGATTATATTTTTCCTAAGGTCATCATATTAATGCCGCATATAGAGCATTGTGACAACCTTCAGCAGATTATTTTGACAACTGTATCTGATATACTGTTGTTTACTAATAAAATTGACATATTTAGATAAGTAATAAATAGTACTGGCTAAAATTATTTCATTCCTTATGATATTTATTTACAGGAGAGAGGTACACAAGAGTTAACAAATAGTTTAGTAATTACAATATAAATCTGTTTACAAAACTATTATAGTTTTGTTAGCAATACATACAGATACATAACTTATATTGCAGATTGATTTATGATGTAATCTATACTTTTAATAAATCTGTAGAGGTTAATTCTGTACATGAAATATATTTCCAAAATAACTATCAGGGGGTGATTAGTGATCGATATTGATGCTAAAAATGCAATCAGTAAAATTTTTGTCTGTCTGTATGTTTGTTATAGAAACAAAAACTACTCGATGGAGTTTAACAAAACTTGGTACAATTATTCTTCATACTTCTGGGCAGTTTACAGTGTACTTTTCATTACGCTACGATCAATAGGAGCAGAGCAGTAAAGGGAAATGTGTCTGTTACATCAAAACCACTGAACCGTGAGGAAGGACATAGGCTATTTATTTTACAAAAAACTACAGAAACGCGGATGAACTCGCGGGGAACAGCTAGTTTTAAATAAATTTGATCTCAGGGTAGGCTGAATAAGTGGGAATTAACATCACAATTTTCTTGATTTTTGAATAAAAGCCATCATAATTTAAAAAAGCTGGTAGTAGCTTTGATTATATGGTCCATAGTTTTATCATTATACTGATAAGTATGCACTCCAAAAATTTTACAGTAGTGGTTTTATTTGTTAACTCTTATGTCTTTTTATTTTTTATAATATCTATACATTTTACCATATATATTACATGTAGCAATACACAAATTAAATAAGACACTTAACATACATGTAATTGAAAATAATAATTTGTAATGAAATAATAAATATAGCCTTATAAATAGGGCAAGATAATATTGGCAGGAAATAAATTATGATACAAAAGTCAGTTCTTAAGTACTAGAATAAAACACTGAGTTACTCTGTGCGAGTTCTTTCCAAAATTAATTGTATATTATCTAGTGTTTGGTATATGATCCTAAAATTTGGCCGGTCACTTGGATTGTGATTCCAACACTGTTTCATTAAGTCATACACACATCTTGGTGTATTGTCAGGACAAGCTAGCACATTACCATCTTTTAAAAATCTAACAACTTCTTCATGAGTCATACCAAAGTATGGTTGTAAAGCAAATGAAAATATCTCCCAAAGGCACACACCATATGCCCACACATCAGACTCTAAAGTATATTTATTATAAAGTATACTCTCTAAAGGCATCCATCGCACAGGTATTGCATCATGTTCATCACCTTTATAATAATCTTGAAGATAAATTTTATGTGATAAACCAAAATCAGCAATTTTAACTACCATGTCATCATTGATCAAACAATTCCTAGTAGCTAAGTCACGATGTACAAATTTTCTGTCTGATAAATAAACCATACCAGATGCTATTTGTCTAGCTATATGTAAGAGATCTAAATGACTTAATGGAGTAGCAAGCAAACGTAAATCTTCCCTATTTTCTACAGCTGGTGGAAAACTTGTTGCAGTACTGCATGCCCTCAAATACTCATTTAAATCACCTTTTCCCATATATTCAAACAATAAACACATTGGCCTTCCAATGGCACAAACTCCTAACAATTTTACTATATTTGGATGATCAAAATCAGCAAGTAAACAAGCTTCTCTCTCAAAATCCAACTGCAAATCATGAGAGGCTTCATCTTTGAGCATTTTAACAGCAACAATAGTGAACTCTTCATCAGGTACAAGTCCAGGTGCTTTTGCTTGAAAAACTCTTCCAAAAGCACCCTGTCCCAAATCACGAATATAAATGATATTGTTTCTTGGAAATTCTAATTTTTCTAATTTGGGATTCAGCTGTGCTCCAGTGGTATGATAAGCCAAGTTACTAGGTAATTTATCTAAGTCAATATCCACATTTTGAACATTTCTTCGATTGGTCATATTGCATTTTGAATAGTGATTTTTTAAGAAATTATGACATAATAATGCTACTAATGCTATACCTAAAATACAGCCAAGGCCACCTATGGATAAGTACAAAACAAATGTAGGTGTGAAGTAATTCTCCATAACAATTATTGGTCCATTTCTATTGTCAAATTCTTCACTAAAGTTGGCACAAACTGGTATGTCACAGTGCTCCCATCGTACATTAGCATCCATAGTGTAACACCATGGTTTACGTTCCTCTCCACCTGCATTTCTACAGAAATTTGTAGCATTCTGAACTTCTGGGAATACCAGAGGCGGTCTAGTATGTTGATGTGGGAACTGAGCTTCCCAAGCTTGACAAGCTAAACCTGATTCTGTTACATTTACGGTTCCCTGATAGTAGCGCCCATTGCCTCTAACACATGTATGGGTAACTTGATTGAAATCCATATCTATAATACCAGCGTTGTTACATGTAACTTGTGAACCTTTACCCGAAAATTTTGGGAGTTTTTCACATTCTGGAAATCGAAAGTGTCCACGAGACTCAAAGAACACTCCACGACGTTTTTGCTCTTCAATAACAATCCAATCATTGTAACAAAATTGCATTTTAACGGCCATACAGTCTTCATAACAAAGTGGTAGTGCAAAATAACCTATTTCATCTTTGTGAATACACTTAGGAAAAGCATAAGCACACAGTAATTTCTCAGCTGTACTTCTGCATGGTTCTTTGAGAGTGGAAATCATTTCCTTCCATAACCCCGTAGTAATCTTTTCATTCTCCAAGCCGCCTGTATTGTTATACCATACGTATCCAGTAGAATAACTTCTGCATATTTGTCCATTATACGGACCACAATAAAGATGCACGGATTTTGTAAGAATAAGCACAACAAATATTGTAAAGTGAACGTACATTGTCTTATTATAATAACATTAGTAAATAGAAGCGTGTACGTATAGGTCGTTGCATTTCATACAAATGAGTAAATCAAGACAAAACAGACTACTGAATAAACAATGGCGGACGAAATTATTTATTATTGATTTTACTTTTCAAAAATAATGAATAGGTAGGTACCTAGTAGAAAGTACCCGTTCGGATTCTAAAGTGAATCATTTATTCTCAGATACTGCAATAAAATTTTCGGATACACACTAGATGGATGAAAATATTTTTTTAAATACTAATTAAAATAAAAGTATTCAAAGTTTCATATAGTTTATTGCTGCAAATTTAATATATATTTAACATAAAAGTTAAAGAAGATCTAAAAATACTATTTTAAATTGAAATTTAATATAAATAGTGATAAAAGGTAACTAATATGGCAACATTTAGATTTTCTTATGTTGGTATCAAGTAAAAGTAAATGTATTGTTTACTCTGTGAGATAGAGGTTAAATAGAACTATAACTTACTGGAGTCGTATTTTAACTTTTTATATTATGGCTGCGATTGAAAAGGTCAAAGTTGTTGTTCTCGGCGATTCAGGTAAATTATAACTTAAATACTGTTCTACCACTTTCACACTTTGTTTTTGCAATTACTATTGTAAACTCCAGGGATTTCTATTATTTATCTTGCCGTATGCCAACATGACATGACTAGATGTTTGACATTTCAGAAGTTTAGACAACATTCAAATAAAATAGCTTTATATTATTTTTGTTTTCGCGACGGTTCAGGAAAAAAATTCATACAGTTTAATTATTTTAATGAATCCATTATTGCAAAACTGTAACTAGATATGGGAGATATTTAAGAAAAAAAAAAATGTAAAACAAGTTTTAATAACAGCAGTAGAAGTGAAAACAATAATTTTTATATTTCTTATTTATTGGTATATTCTGGCACCCACCCTTGAGTATACTTATTTACTTATTATATATAGGTTGACTTAAGCCTCATTAACCTAAACTAGTTCCAGAAGTGGATACCTCTACAAGGTATTTCCTAGAAATCATCGTTATTATTTATTTATACCTTTGCACACATTGAAAAATGTTTACAGGGCGGATTTATTGCCTGATGGCATTGTCTACCAGTCAACCGCCACGCTAAACAGAGCAAATGGCGGTGCACACATTAAAAAAATAGCAAATTAAATAAATATTAAAAGATAAATTATTAATTCTTGTGAAATTTGTTACGATGGATCGACTGATGTGACTTCATTCTCACTTATCATTATTCATTGAGCTCGCCAGCATAATATCATTAATAAATGCGAGGTTATAATTCTATTTTTATACCTTGAAAGAAAAAAATAAGTTATTTATTTTCATTATTATTATATAAAGGAAAGATTTATATATATATATATATATATATATATATATATATATATATATATATATATATATATATATATATATATATATATATATATATATATATATATATATATATATATATATATATATACACATTCCATTCCAAAAATTTTTTGGATTTTGTTCTGTGTTTCAATTCCTTGGTTGCGACAGCGGCGGCCATGGCGCGTGGTAGCGGACGGCGCGGCGCTAATCTATTATATGATATACGGACGCTACCAACATTCAATGTTTAGACTTTTTCATAGCACGTTTTTTCTGTTCCAATTAAAAAAATATTTACAGGACTAATTAATCTACACAAAACTTTCCTGTCTTATTTTAATTTTATTTATATTATAAGTATATACTAGAAAATTAAAACACGAAAAATATAACTAAAAATAATAAATAAAAAATAAAGTTTCTGATTATAAATAGGTTTGGGGATAAAAATAATAAAAAAATAAATACGTGCTCAAAGTAATTTGTTTGAAAAAGAGCTACTTAAGAAAAACTATTTTAAAAAACTATTTTGAAAGACTAAAGATACATTTACTCTACGTTTATTTCAAAATTTCTAATAAATAAATGTCCACATGTGCGGAACTGGGGCGGGCCGCTATTGTTATATAAAAGTTTCATTTGTAAATCAAAAGCTGTTTTCGATGAAAAGGGGAATAGGATCTATATACCGTAATAACTAAACACGGTAAATTATCTATATTATATATTATTATATTTTATTTAACATTAGACAAAGAGTAACATAAAATGTATTTTAGCAACGTGTGGGCTCTATAAATTAATATGAACATATAAAACCTACTTCAACAGTTTTTTTTTTGTGTACTTTTTATACCATTTTATTTTATACACTATATGACAACCAAGCATATGGCCCACTTGATGGTAAACGGTTACCGTAGCCTATGAACGCTTGCAATATCAAGGGTATTACGCGCATGTTGCCGACCCTGAAGAAACCTCTTTACCTCCCTGTATGTATGCAGAATTAATTATCAATAGTAGTATGATAAATAATAGAGAAATAGGAAAATAAATAATTACAATTGATACAGTTATCTATAATATCTAGGTATTTTGCAGGAAAAACAGTAAGCTTTTTCTAGGTAGAAAAATTTAAAAAAATCGTCTAAAACCCATCACAAATTGTTAAGAAGAGATCTTTGTCTAACGATAATAGTACTCTTCTTTATCTGTGCGTTACCTAGTACTATTTTGTTTTGTTAATGTTCTGTTGAAACCAAAATTACTTTCACTACAAATGTATGTACTAATATTCTATCTTAAATCTGTTACATTTCCTGTTCCCTTTCATTTCTTAAAGCAAATAAATATACCTATATAGTCTCACACTACATTTTTTTACAACACCTCACTCTGAAGATTGTCGGTGCGAACCAATTGTAATACCCACTTATTACAAGTGGGTATTACAATTGGTTTGCACAGTGTTCGTGGATAACCTTTATTAAAGTTCATACTATGCAATAATTATTAAGTTTAAGATTGTTGTTATCCTAAATATAGAAAAGTTTATAAAATATATTTAGCATTGCATACACTGTTAGCCATATGCAGATGCTCCAAGATACTCAGCATGCTACAGCTAAGTGTTTGCTCTTATAAAGAGTTATGAATTAATATTTCTAATTCTCATTAGTGGGTTAAGGAGAAGCTTTTAATAATTATTAATGCATAATTGCAGGCGTAGGTAAAACTTCGCTCACCTATCTTATTGCACATAATAAGCCTATTCTTTCGCCGGGTTGGACAGTTGGCTGCTCTGTAGAGGTGAAGCTACATAGATACAAAGAAGGAACACAAGCCCAGAACACGTTTTTTGTTGAGCTTTGGGATGTGGGTGGTTCTAATGGACATCGAAATACAAGAGATGTCTTTTATCAACCAACACATGGTAATTATTTAATTACTTTTTTATTGTTATTTGTATACGACAATAATATAACAGCCTTTCACATATATATACATGTATAACGGGAATTTATTATTTATATTCTTTTCAGGTATAATATTAGTACATGATTTAACAAATAGAAAAAGTCAAGTAAATTTGCAAAAATGGCTCACAGAGATTCTAAATCAAGATAACCCCAATCCAACTCTGCAACACGTGGATGTAGATCCTGAACAGTTTTTAGGCTCTACACAAGTAAAAATAAAATTAAAATAAAATAATCTATTTAAACATCGAAAAATATTATTATATATAATAAGAGCTTTAATAATTTCCAGATACCTATATTAGTAATTGGAACAAAATTTGATTTAGCAGAGGAAAAGCAAAGAAAGAATCAGTACAGAAGATTGGCTAGTAGTATAGCTGAGCAGTGCGGAGCTGATGAAATATTTGTGAACTGTCATCAAGCAAGGTATTATTTTGGCCTACCAAATGCAGTTTTATGTGCCTATATATAAACACAGCCTACCACAGAGCAAGTAATCATTATGTTATAAGAGCTGGCAACGGTCTTATATCCATGAAACCTGGAAATTACCTTTTCGATTGTTATTTCGAAAACACAATGAAAATTATAACATTATAATTTATATAAGAAAAATAAATGAATATAATGAATAAAAAAATATATGCAGTGTTGTACGTATGTTGTAGACGATATGCTTTTATCCAAACTGTAGATAGTTAGCTTAAAAAAACCTAGTAATGTCGTAATATTGCTACTACTAATATTAATATTACTACTATATTTGACTTCTTTTTTTACGTTTACAGATCTCTTGCTCCGGGTACTAGCAATTCAGTTAAATTAACGAGATTTTTTGATAAGGTAAGATTTTGGGTAAGATATAAGATATTCTGTATAAAGTTTCAAGAGAATATTGTGCAGTATATTTTTTATAATTGCATGGTATCAAAAAAATTAAATTTTATGATATAAGTACTCAGTAGTAAATATAATTAATAAACATAATACGATCTTTATAGAAATTTAAAAAAAAAGTATCAATCACACAGGAAAATAATATAATACTACTATACTAGTAAAAATAGTAAAAAAAAACTTCGTTATTAACATTAGATGAATGTAGATTTAAGAATTAAATAGATGTAGATACATATTAATACTTCGATATTTCAAGAAACTTCAATTTTGTTGTGTAACATTTAGTAGTTCATGAAGTTACCTTGTTATATAAATGTTTATTTTTCTTCAGGTGATAGAAAGAAGATATTACTCTAGAATCAGTCCATTTCCGGATAAAAAAAGGATTCCTTCATACATGATAGCTACATCGACACCTCTTTCCAGTAATAAACCTGCGCAGTATCTTAGTCCAAGATTCTATCATATGGATTGACAAATTTATGTTTTTTAATAAAGTAAGCATAGGTTATTATATAGTTGAGTATAAGTAAGTATTATGAATAAGTAATAAATAATGCAGAAGATGTACATATATATCGAGAAAATTCTGACATTTTTTCATACACATAGTGGAAAAAGAAGTACGCGTGTCTTTGAATAAGTTGCCTATAGTTGTGTATTTTTTGTGTTATCGTTACATAAATACCTATAATAAAGGATACAGATCTCTGAATCGATATGGTGAAATGTTTTATAATACTTGTAATATAAGGTAAAATATTTTTAAATAAATATAAATAACGAAGTATCATTTTCTTATTTGCTTTTAATAATTTATTAAAAAAATAGTGATTAATATAAAATTCTATTGATTACAAAAAATCGATTTAGACTTGGATAAGACAGTGTAGTACATAAGAAAAAACCTTCGAACTTAGAATATCTTGGTTTTAATTTGTTTAAAAATTATCGAAAAACAAATAAAACATGTATGTTATTTATTTATTATTACAATATTTATTCAAGTGTTGTTATATTAAGATTATATAGAATAATTGTCTATAATGCCCAAACTCGCACATAATCAACTTGAAGGGATGCGTCTTGTCCATCATTTACGTCCAGCTGCCATGTTGGCAGCCAACCACCTCGTCCATTCCAAAAGTCAGTGGCGGCCTATCATGATGTAATATATGATTTAAAATGTCTGGTAGATATCTTTTTTGTTCTCATGGGATGAATCGATATATTCTAGTGGAATACCAGTGAGGGTTGATATTTGTACTTGTAGACAGGTCAGTTGGCCTAAAGTAACGAATTCGCCAAGAATTAACCACGACGGCTTTCATGGGGATCATGTGGAAGTTGATGGAACAGAACAGAATTTCATTCGCGACGTGCATTTGCTTGGAGTGGACGTGTTGTTTGTTGTTTATAATACGTGAATACTACTACATATTAGTGTTATAATTTTTAACATTATGTCTTTACAACGCACACCACCCCAGTTTTCCTCAAGTCCTGATATTGCTACATCATCGTTATCAGTGACGGACAATACTTATATAAATCTGCGAAAGCGAAAACAACCAGAAAACGAAACTACCGACATGTTCCGTGAGCTCGAAAAAAAATTTAGCGACCAGTTATGTATTTGGAATAAGAAAATTGATGAAAGTATTGTGGACGTAATATCGACTGCAGTGAAATCGTGTTTGTCGGATGAACTTGTGAAAATATCTACCGCTTTGTCGGAAATTAATACGTCAATACTTCGACTCCAAGCCGACAATGTCGGTATTAGAGAATCAATAAATAATTTTATTAACCGTCTTTCGGCTGTGGAGACCTCATTGAGTGTAATAGATCAGCAACAGAATATATGTGAGCAACGCATATGTACCCTCGAGCATAATAGTAAGCCCCTGAATGAGTTACCGGAATTAATAAAAACATTAGAATTTAAAATTGGTCACATGGAACAACAGGCGAGAGAATGCAACATAGAAATATCCAACGTACCAGAACGGCGTAACGAAAATCTTTTGGCAATCACAACTAATCTTGGTGCCGCAATAAATCAAAAAATATTATCAAGTGACATCGTATCTATACATCGAGTGCCCCACGCCTCACGGGAGGATACCCGTCCCAAAAATATTATAGTGAAATTCACCACAAAAATTTTGCGTGATAATGTACTTGCTGCATGCCGTCTCAAAAAAGGACTCAACTCTGAACAGCTATCGGTGTCTGGTTCAATACACAAAATCTATGTAAATGAACATTTAACAGTGAAAAATAAATTATTGTTTCGTGAATGTCGTCAAAAGGCAAAAATTCAAAACTATAAATACGTGTGGGTTAAAAATAGTGTTATTTTATTACGTAAGAGTGACAACTCACCTGTCTTGGCAATCCGTACGTTACATGATGTGGTCAAAATTAAATAATACCTTTGAATGTATCATTAATACAGTCAATGGTGTTCGTTATATAAATTTAATATATAAACATAGTATAAATTATATTATCATTAAGAAATCTTTTACCAGCTGCATTGTCATTTTTGCCAATTTTTATACTTACGCCTATTATAATTTAATGTGTGTATCAGGTACTCTAAAGTATATATATTATTCGAAAATAAATAATAGTAATATATATATAGATAGATATATACCTTTTTTTATCGTTTAAAGGAAAAATATGAATAATTGTTTGTCTATTTATTATCAAAATTGTCGAGGCTTAAGGACTAAATTGCACACGTTACACATGAATATTTTATTGCATAATTACGATATTATAATATTGACTGAAACCTGGCTACATGCTGACATTCTCGATAGTGAATTTATTGATAGCCGCTATTGTTTATACCGTTGTGATAGGGATCGAATATCAACGGGGCGAAAAGACGGCGGTGGGGTGCTCGTAGCAGTGCTGCGTGGGCTCGCCGTGCTACCCTGCTTACCGCTCCCGGTTGCCGTATGCCCATCGCCAGCACCTATTATTGACTTCGTGTTGTTGGAGATACGCTTATGCGGCGGTATTACTAGCCTACTGAGCGCTGTTTACATTCCACCAAATCAGCATGTAGATATATACTCCTCATACACAGAATACATTGAACATATAGTATATGAACGTAACATCCAAACATACTGCATAGTTGGTGATTACAATTCATCTACACTTGACTGGCATTCTAATGGACTACATCTACAACCAGTTCTTACAAGTAGATCTACTTTAATAGACAAAAAACTGGCATCCTTTAGTACTGAAATGAACTGTATTCAGTTGAACACTGTAAGAAATAAAAATAACAAGTTATTAGACCTTGTTTTAACTAATATAGTAGACTGTAAATTGTTGCCTGCGCCAGTCTCTCTTATTCCGGTAGACGAATACCATCCACCTTTTTACTTTCTTGTCCCTGTCAACTTTAATTTAAAGTGTATACCTTCTAAAATTAAAACTTATTATTTCTTTAAAGGCGCTAATTATTCATTAATAAATGAAGAATTGTCTAAAGTAGATTGGGATGATTTATTTAAAGATAAATCGGCTGAATCTGCCGTTAATAGTTTTTATGAAGTTATTTATGGGTTAATAAAAAAACATGTTCCAGTTAAATTCACAAAATCGTCTCGCTTTCCGCCTTGGTTTACATCTTCTTTAATACATATTTTCAAAAATAAAAATCAGGCGTGGATTAGATGGAAGAAGTATGGAAATAGGTCAGACTATGAAATTTTTTCTTTATATAGAGAACGTTTTAAAAAGGAATCACAAAAATGTCATAGAGAGTATATTTGTAGGGTAGAAAGTAGTATTAAGGATAATATAAAATTTTTTTGGACATTTGTTTCTAATCATAAAAATATTGATGACATTCCTAACTCGGTTTACTATAAAAATAAAGTAACTGATGAGCCACATGAAGTATGTAGCTTATTTTCAGATTTTTTTCATTCCGTCTTTGAACCTTCATCTGTTACAGAAGATTTTAATATGGACAATGTTAATTTCGAATCTAATTATAGTAATGATACATTAATACACAATATAACATTTACATATGGACAGATTTCCAAAGAACTTAAATTGCTTGATGCATCGAAGGGTACTGGCACTGATAATATTCCAGCAATTTTTTTAAAATTTACTGCTAGTACTATATGCAAGCCCTTACATTATCTATTTAATAAATGTCTACACGAAGGTGTATGCCCAACTATTTGGAAGTCAGCACGTGTAGTGCCAATTCATAAGGGTGGTTGTAAAAGAAATATTGAAAATTATCGCCCAATTTCAATCTTGCCGGCTCTATCAAAACTTCTTGAGAGACTAGTTCATAATATTATCTATCCGATCATACATAATAATATTATTCCCCAGCAACATGGTTTTGTAGAACGTCGTTCTACAAGTACAAACTTACTATTATATACGAGTTATCTATTTGACACACTAGACAAAAACAAACAGACAGACAGTGTATATACAGATTTCCGGAAAGCTTTTGATACAATAGATCATAAACGTCTTTTAGAAAAAATTGCGTATAACGGTATACGAGGCAATCTTTGGCGATGGTTTAAATCATATATCACAAACAGAACCCAGAAAGTTATTATTAATGGATATGAATCTAATAATGTACCTATAAGTTCAGGAGTGCCGCAAGGATCAATTCTAGGGCCCCTACTATTTATTATATTTATAAATGATATTTACACATGTTTTAATTTTTGTAAAATTTTATTATATGCAGACGATCTTAAAATTTATCATATAATCGACACTCCTAACGATCATATACTTTTTCAAGAAGATTTAAACCGTTTCACTGCATACTGTAAAATTAATAAATTAACTCTCAGTTTGCATAAATGCAAAACTATAACCTTCACAAGGAAACGAAATATTAGTAATTTTTCATATACATTATGCAATTGTGTCCTTGATAATGTACAAACAATTAAAGATTTAGGTCTTACATTGGATACTAGACTTGTGCTTGATACACATATTGATAATATTGTTGCTAAGGCATACAGAATGTATGGTTTTGTAATGAGATGTACGAATAACTTTAAGAAACCCACTACTTATTTATATTTATATAAAAACCTTATTCGATCTCAATTGGAATATGCTGTAACTATATGGAATCCTATTTATAAGTTTTACTGTGATAAAATTGAAATGGTACAGAAAAAATTTTTGCGACGTTTACAATATAAATTTTCTCATAACCGTCGTTCATATGACCAATTATTGTATAAATATAATTTGCAAGACTTAAAATCAAGGCGCATACAACTAGAGATTATGATTCTGTATGATATTATTCAGGGTAAATATGACTGTATTTCATTAACAAATCAGATAAATTATAAAGTTCCAGTGCGTACACAAATGAGAAATTCACGAAGACAAGAATTGTTTGCAATTAACAGATACCGTACCAATTCCGGTATTCGTTCACCCATAAATAGAATTTTGAAAATATATAATGACAAATTTTATAATATTGATATATTTGCTACTAAACCATTAACTTTCAAAAAAATGGTAGCTAAACAATTAGTAACCTCCTCCCTCTCTCAGGAATTTAGTAATGCGTGCACATAATTAATAAATTATAAAATACATGTGTATAGTTAAATAACTTTTTTTTTTTGTTGGTTGTTTTGCATAATTTGTACCGGTGACGTGGTTGTGTCAGCTCCACTTCTCGGCAATAATTGCATGTTTATATACTTTCTTTCTTTATATAGCAATCTGTAGTTAACGTTGTTGGTAGTACTATTAATCACATTTAAATGTAATCTTATTATAATTATATATTGTATTACTGTTTGTTAACTTTAATAAAATAAAAAAAAAAAAAAAAAAAAAAAAACAGATAATATTGTCAGACAGGACACATTACTAGCAATAATGCCACTTCGTTACTAACATTTCCCTCACTCCTCACCACCCCGATATGAAGAAACTCTGATATTGTCATATTTTTGTCTTTTATAAGAGACTGGAAATAACGCGATCATTTGGACAGTGATAATTTACCAGAATTGTCTCGACGTTTCGACCAGGTTACTCTGGTCATAGTTACGAGTAGATTAGTCGAAACGTCGAGACAGTTTAGTCAAATTATCATAGTTTATTTAAATGATCGCATTTATTCCCGTCTTTTATAGAACATGCATCGCGAAAGTATAAAAGTTAATATCATCATCATAAAATTCTTATTATGTATTATTTAGATAAATACTAACAGTAGGTGAGCCATTCCACCAGGGCTTGGGATTTGGATTATCAACGCCATCAGGAAAGAAACCATTTGTACCACCAACTGCGACGTTCATAATTATGTAGAACTGAAATTATAAAAGTAAATGACTTTTTTCTTTGTCTTTTAAAAACCTAAAATTACTTATTACAGTAGATTATTGAGGTCTCTTATACTATATACCATGTATGTAAGAATTTTTACAACAATTTAATATACGTATTGACAACTTTTGCGGTATAGAGACTTAAGACATCGCATCACCTGGTGATCACGGGTTCAATCCCTGCAAGATACATTTGTATTCATAAGTATGTCTGTTTATGTTAGTCTGGGGTATAGTATTATATTATCTGTGGTCTGGGTGATTTTTATTTATAATCTTACAATGTATACAAATTTATACATATATGTGAAACTTTGTAAAGATGTTTAGATGTTGGTACGTTTGTTATTTAATTACACTTAAATGACTGATGAATGAAATTTGGTACACAGGTAAGTTATATCCTTTATTAACATAGGGCATAGTTTATATTAGTATATATTAGTCAACATCTAGCAAAGTCGCGGAAAACAGCCAGTGTGTATGTATTTACAAAAAAAAAAAGAATATATATTACGTATACAAAACCCATAGTGCTAGCTCCTCTTACTTTGGGCGTTGTTCCGTAGTATGAACTATTTACCTTTTCATCAAATGGTGCCATTTTGCTTCCGTATCTCCATGGGTTTAAGATATTAGGATTACTATTAAAGCCGCCATATTCCCAGAAGCCACCATTGCCAGGTGTAGCACGGCCCAGCTCAACATCATCAATACTGAACCTAATGAAATCTGTAAATAACATAGAGGATTTATGTAGACTTTCTCAATATAATTCATTATTGCCATTGCACATATAGATTTATTTCGTTAATATAATTTAAAAGGTTTTATATATTTTATTTTTTAGTACTATACAATTAAATCAATGACCGAGTTATTAACATGCTTACTCTATGTTCTGAAAAAAAAAAATGCGCCACAGACGTTAAATAGATTATAAGAGTGATGATACATAAGAATATTGTTTACCGGGAGTCCACTCAAGTTGGTATCGGTGAAAATCGGTATCATAACCAGCACCGTTTCTTCTGATCCAGTGGGCTCGCTCCCAGCCGTTAAGCCCAGGATAAGGCCCATAATGTAAGGTAGAGCCGGCCTCTTGAGTTCCTATATGTAACCCGTTGCTGAACATGTTTCTATTACCACGGGATTCCACTAAATCTATTTCCCCTGAAGAAGGCCAACTGCCGTAGGCATTGTATGCTGGCATTAGCCAAATAGCTGAAAAGATAAATAAACATCTTACTCATATATATATATATATATGCAACTTAGAATGGCAAACAAGCTGACGGCCAACCTGATGGAAAGTGGTATATATATATTTATAGTCGAAGATTACCGTTTTCCATCAAGTGGACCGTTAGCTTATTTGGTATTTCATGTTGCAAAAAAATATATGTAAGTATTTACGATAAGCTGTGATGTTACCTGGCCATAACCAGTCGCCTGCGGGCATCTTAGCACGGACTTCCACACGACCATAGCGGAAACTAAAGGAATTTACAGTACGAAGACGTGCACTCTTGATCGGGTTCAGCACATTAGCTGGAGTACCCTGTCTATCGCAGCCCCACCATTGAGGATTCGTGCACCTATTAATTTTTTTTTTATTTATATATATTATTATACCACAAAAATATTCTTATAATTATTTACAACTTTTGGGTAGAAAAAAAAAAGAAAATAAGTAAAAAATAATACACAGCATAAATAAATATGTTGCATGATATCAAATAAAATTATATTTACATAAAATACACATAAAATTACACGCTACAGATATAAACATCACTATTTAATCATCATTTACCAGTTTCTTAATTAAGCTGTAACTTGGAATGATTGTCGGGCCAAATTAGTAAAACGTATTTTCAGATTGATTAAATTAAGGTTTCTTGAGGATTGAGTCTTAAAGGTCGTCATTACTGAAATTCGTTTACCATCAGACACGTTTTATGTTTGTTTGTCACCATTGTAGGTAATATAAAAACATAATATGATATAAACTATATACGAGTATGTACCGCACCTGTCTGCGGGTGCTCCACCTTCAATATTCAAATGACCAGTGCTGAGGAACGGCTCTCCGAACTGATCCGATGTCAATGATGGCCGAATGAATAGTGTTCCACTATGGGTGAATGAATTTGTCCGGTTGTTACAATAGTATTGGAATTCCCAGTTCTAAAATAATAGTAAAAAAAAAAACAAGTCGGATATCAAAGTAACAAAAAGTATATTGTGTTATATATAGGTATATATTTTTTTGTAATAAAAAATATATCTAATTAGAATGAAATAAAGACTAATTTAATGATGGATATGATAAATATAGTATAGGAAGTAATTATAAATTTAAATATATTCTTTTATCATTCCGATAGTACTATTGCCATCTGTTAATAGTAGTAAGGTAATAATAGTAAAATTATTATACTTACGCCCCCGCCGGCTAGTGTGTTTTCATGCTGCCATTTCTCAAGGTCGAAATAATCGAAATCGTCAGAAAATATCAAATCTCCCGAGCACACAGTACCCGGCGCATGAGTGCCGCTCACTGTGGTAGCGCTAGGCGTACAGGCTGCTCCTAATGACACCAACCCCGCTATGGACGCTAGTAACAGCAGCATATTGCTGGAAAGAAGTTGGACAACATACTACAAATTATTTTATCATCGTTATTTTTTAATTTAATAACAACCGGATTAATTTACGTATTAATCAAGAAAGCTACACTAGTTTAATATATTTTATTGTTAGGAAGTTAAAGGAGCTGATAGTCCACTTGAAGTAGTTTCTGTCGTCTATAAATACTTGAAAGCGGCAAAGATTTGCTAGCACCTAGTCAGCCTTTCAATAAATTGTATCTATGGCGTTTTATGAAAAACACTATAATAATATTGCAGAGCAAAGGTAAAATTTTTGGAAAGGTGCTCATTCCATAATGATTGCATTATGGATACAATTCGATTATACCATATAATTTGAGTACATTATCTACATTTAACTCTAACTCTAGTTAGAGTTATTGGGTATTGGTACAATAATCAAAGTAATCAGGTGACGTGGAATGATGCTTTATCTGATTTTACCGATTAAAATACGGAGTGAGGCAAGGTGCGCTGAGTTTACTCAACTTGTTTAGTATGTATGTAAATGGCCTAATTGAGGAGCTCAGGAGAATACATGCTGGTTGTTATATTGATGGAGTAAGCGTCAATAACATAAGCTATGCCGACAACATGTATTGCTAATCCCCTCAATCATGATATTTGTATCTGGAAATAAAAAACCGAAGTATGTTCCTCCTATATCACTTAATGGAAATGTACCTACTTGCAGTGGTAACTGATTTTAAATATCTCGGACACATTATTGCAAGTACTTTGAAAGATGACTTAGACATAAAACGCGAAAGAAGAGCAGTGGCAGTTAGAAGTAACTTGTTAGCTCATAGGTTTGCTAGGTTTGCTAGGTGTACAAAACAAGTCAAAATAATAATAATAATAATGTTTAAAGCTTTTTGTCAGGTGTTCTGTATGATGTGGGTCAACTATAATCAAAAAACTTACAGTGCTTTTCGAGTCCAATATAATAATGCCGTCAAGGCACTGTTGGGGCTACACGTTACTGTAGTGCATCACAAATGTTTGCACGAGAGCGAGAGAGAGAGAGAGAGAGAGAGAGATGATTTTTGCGGAATACGGCGCAAACGAATTATCTCACTATTGAGTATGGTGTGTGTTAGCTCAGTGTCCTGAATACAATTACCGGTAAAATGAACTGCCCCATCCTAAAATATTGGGTGGGACAGGTTATCAATGCAAGAGCGTCATGATCTCTCATTTACTAACATAGGTTAAGTACATTTGTAACTAACAAAATAGGCCTTAAGTTGTCTAAATAAACAATTTTTTTTTGATGGGTGAAAATGGAATGGTATCTCCGCCTGCGTTAACGGAATATGCTGGCGGAGCACTAATGAACGGTGATAGAGGAGAGTGAAAACAGGCCAGTTAGTCCATTATGATGAATTCATCAGGAATTAATCATGATAGTTTCCAGGGGGAACCGCGAGGAGGTCGACCTGGGTTGGGTTGGTATATTGCTAGTAATGGGATTCTTAGTCTCCATTACTAACAAGCCCTTTCCCCCCAATTGTTATCATAACTTAAAAAATAAACTAAGTACAACTTACCTTTGCAATGAAATTAAAGCCATGTACCGATTGTTGCAACATCTACAATGGTTAGATATATAATGTTTTCTTTGTTTTTATATCACCTAACAACAAAAAAATAATTAACATTTTATCATAAATCACAGTTGCCACAATCTTATCGATATGAGGTCGTGTAAAAAAGAAATACAAACTCATAAATTACAAATATATACATAGACTGAGGCGATCACAAGGACAATTATAATAGTAAAATTAATAATATTTCAAATATCTCTTCAGATTAGTCGCGTAGAATCATACATATCTACTATGTTCATACTATTTATTGATATTAGCTTTTTGACTGCCACTTCATGAAGGAAAACCAATGAAATAGACCATTTCTAGATAGCGTCGCTAGATAAAACATATTTAATATTGCAATAATTTTTACGTAACCTCGGAACAAACATACAGAAAAAATCTAAAATTTATTGTTTTTGTATCTCTAAATCTTATATCACTTATATATATATATATATATATATATATATATATATAAATAAAGATTTTTATGAGTACATCTGTCTTATACCTAGGTATCGATCATTTCAAAGTTTTACTATTTTTTAGATATTTTACTTTTAAATTTAATTTTGTTTTTAATCTTGCACTATGAGAGTCATCTCATAAACCAGTGTCAACCAGTCTTGTCGTACATATATTTAAGTACGTTTCTATTACTCTGAATTTATTAAACTGTAGAATGATATATTTTTAATAGTAAAAAGAATAAAAATGTTCTTCATCAAATATCCTACCCCGGTTAGTAGGTATAATTTCATATGAAACTAGCATTATGATACTGATAGGTACAATTTATTATTTTGTTCTTTGATTGCGTTATTTGTCTTATAACGCAAGTGTTTATAGATGTGTACGTTACTGGGTTCTTGTTGGCATGTTTGATAATAACTCTGTTTCTTTTTATTATAACTATAAGTAAATAAAAGAAGCCACGGTTAAATGCTAGTACACATTATTATATATTTACTTATTTATTTGTTATTGCATTCGTCACTCATGGATGTTTTTAAATAATTAAGTAATATCACATCATTTAGATAGGGATCTTTTATATCATAATTATGTAGATTTTTACAGATTATGTTCGAAATATTATAAGTATCTATAACCAATCACTATTAACAAAGATAAAAAAAATGTATCACATATCTGTCATAAGCAATTAATTATTGTATTTTTATTGTTTGATTAATATGAGGTGAGTAAGCTTCAAACCCAAGAAATATAAATACTTTTCTTTAATATACATACTTATGTTGAAAACTTTTTCCTGGCATATACCTAAAAACAAAATGCTTTCTAAGAATTAAATACTGACGTCATGTAAAACTAGACAGTCAGACAAGATTCAGATTTAATTATGAATACCTATATCATTTTATTGTAAAAACTTTATAAAATCTAAATGGACGTGGTAAATTTTACAGATTTCAAAAGAAATGATTTTCACATAACAGGAGGAAAAGTGATTGTTATTAATAGTCTCTAACAATGCCATTGCTAGCAATATATCAGGTCGATCTCTACGCGGTTCCCTCTGGATACTTTCATAATTAATTTTTGTTAAGTTCGTCACGGTGGGCCAACTGACCTGCTTTCATTTAATCTATCATCTCTTGTGGGTGCCCTGCCAGTATATAACGATAACGCAAGTGGGGCTATCATTCCATTTTCATCCATAAAAAATATTCCTATATAATACGTAAAGATCTTTTAAAATATTCCCTTCTGAAAGAAATGTCTTACATTAATTTTATAGATATAATAATAATGAAAAAAAAAAACAACACTACTGGATATATTATGATTATAGCCTTAGATTATATAGATAGAGCATCGAGCCTTAAAAACGAGTCAACTTTTTGTCAGCTAATTGTGAATTTAGCTACTTTTTTTAATAATGTTATGAGTATATATACTTATGCACACAATGTACCTTGACGTATCAATTAATCTTCTATACTTATAATAAATCTGTAGAGAGGTCAATTCTGTACATGAAATATATTTTTAAAATAACTATCAGGGTGTGATTAGTGATCGATACTGATGCCAAAAATGCAATCAGTAAAATTTCTGTCTGTCTGTCTGTATGTTCGTAATAGAAACAAAAACTACTCGACGGATTTTAACGAAACTTTGTACAATTATTCTTCATACTCTTGGGCAGGTTATAGTATATATAAAATGTAAAAATGTCCACCCGTGCGAAGCCGGGACGGGTCGCTAGTTATTTAATAAATATAATGAGTTATTACGCATTGAAAAGGTGCAGAAATTATAAGACAATAAATATAGAAGCTGTAAAGGAATCACGCATAACTATTTATATGAATATCATAAGTTTTAGCCACCTAGTAGATAGACGATAGATAGTAGATACACGAGTACTTTATTATGTTTTGTAAAGATTTTATACGTATAAAATACAGAGATAATGCAAAAAGATATACTTGGAAATTTAACCCGTACCGAGGTCTAGATATATGAAGGGTATATATATATACCATATATATATATATATATATATAATATATATATATATACATGCAAAACCGCTCGACTGATTTTAATGTAATTTTGTAAACGTGTATTGTTTATTCCAACTTGGGAGGTAGATAGTATTTTTAACCTGATAAGTAAAATACGTGGAGGTTCAAGTGCCGGGTAAGATAGTCATGACATATGAAAATCCCGTGTCCTGATTTACGTAAAACTCTGAAAACCACCAAATCTGTCTCTCGTATAAGATTTCGAGAGTTTTTCTTCCGATAAGAAAAAATGGACCAGTTTGTGACGGTGGGGCATTACAATTACTTAAGAAAAAAATGTATTTAGATATGTACAACTTACATTAGTTGATATAAATTTCCAATTAAATGTTAACACTACATATAATCGAACAGTGTTAATTAAAAGCAAAGCTAACTATGACTGTTTACTAGGAAGCTTAAACACTAAAATAATGGAACAAATTACTCACTATTCAATGACTAATTTGATCTCAACATTATAGTGGTTAAAGCATCTATAATATAATACACAGTATAAATAATACCATTTGCGGTGATAATGAATATCTACCTGATGAGTAACGTCGCTTATGCTATCGTTATACGCTGGCAGGCCACCAATGATGATGATTGGTGAAGATAAAAGCATGTTAGTTGTGTTATTGTGACGAATGCATCAAAAATGAAGCATGATGGTTTTCAGAGGAGACGCGTGGAGGTCGATCTAAAAAGGTATATAACTAGTATAGGCCACCTTTCCTTCCTCTTATAAATAATTTTCTACTCGTGAGATTTTGAGAGTTGTTTATCCTTTAGTGGGCTGACCCCTAGTCAAATTCAAATCCTGGTTCAAATTCTGAGCTATTTTGGATGAAAAGATGTGGCGTAGTTTCCCGAACGCTGCCCAGCCGAGTTGGATTTGACGGTTGACCTCTTGGTCGAATTTGGACTTACCCATTAGGACAACTTGTCCCAGGTATACATACTCATCAACAACTTCGAACGTAGTGTTCTCAATCGTAATCGTTATAGGTGTGACATGGACGTTAGACATGATCTCAGTCTTGTCCATGTTCTTATTAAGACTTACCTGTTGAGAAACACCATTGAGATCATTGAGCATAGTATTCAGATTTTCCACAGATTTCGCGATAATTACTATGTCATCGGCAAATCGAAGTGAAGTGATGTATTCGCCATTAACAATTATACTTCTTTTTCAGTCCAAGAGTTTGAAAATATCTTCAATTTAGATGTAAAGAGTTTCGGGGATATGACGTCACCCTGTCTTACACCTTTCTGCACTGGGATGGGTTTCGTACTCTGGTTCTATACTCGAATAGAAATTGTAGCCTTACTGTACATACACGTCAATACTTCGATATACCTATAGTCAATCTGGCACTGCTTGAGGGGCTGTAGTACCGCCTACATATGATAATTTAATTCTTACTATTACTATAAAAGAGAAAGCAAGGTTTTTGTTACCTTTGAACGCTTTAATGGCTTAATCGTCATGAAATTTGGTATATATTTATTATTTAGGATAAAGAAAGGCAGAAGGTACCATTTCTTTATGGGATGAAAATGGAATGGTAACTCCGCTTACACTGTTGGTATATGTTGGTGAGGTTAGTACACCAGAGAGGGATGATTTAGTGAGGTTCAAAGCAAGTCTATTAGTCCATCGTCACAAATTCTTAAAAAACTTTCAGAAGGAACCGCGTGGACAAGGTATATACATTAATAGTTTCAGTGCTATGAATATTCCTAGTAATGGGGTTGTTAACTCGAATACTATCCTCATAGGGTACTATTCATCCCGCCTATATTGTAAGTTACGTCGCAGATAATAATAACCTATTTTTTTTTTATAAACCCCATGGCGTAGATAAAAAATATAACCTAATTTCTATGCAATCTAAGTAATAGTTGTTATTTTTTTTTATACCACGAAGGTGGCAAACGAGCATACAGCCCGTCTGATAGTAAACAGCTACTGTAGCACATGGACGCCTACAATACTAGGGGTGTCACGTGCTCGCTTCCGACCCTGAAGAAACCTTAATATACCCTTTTTGAAGAACCCCATATTGTAGTCTCTAGGGAAAACCTCACAGGGAGCTTACTTCACAGCCTCAGCGTTTGAGAGAGAAAATTCTTTTGAAACCGCACTGTACGTGACCGTTTAGGTTCAAGCGTGAGAGTATGAATTTCTTGTCGATAGCAAACGGTGCTAAAAAAAAGGTAAAAGGTAGCTATGAGCATCATTTCAAACAGTTCCTAAGAACAGGATCTGTTATACAAGCAGTAGAACACACAAAGGAAAGCAATCTATATAAAGCAAAGTAATTCATAACGTCACATACATTTCTACTGTGGAGCAGCAAAACGTACCTATGTTTTTATTTTAAAAGAGTAAGATGGCCAGTGCTATTTATGGTAGAAATACAAAATACTCAACAACTTAGTCATATACTTCAAGTACACGGCGGGATAAACATAGCTTGTGAAGTGATAAGGTCGGCATAGTGTATTTTGTGATGTCTTTTTCCTCGTATTCATTATACCTATAGTAGACGTCGTGTCGACTATTTAGCATCAAAAATGAATAGTTAATGGATACAAATATACAAAAAGACCGCCAAGGAAACTTGAAATCGAGGTATGAACAGCAGCATCCCTGTTTAAACATAACTAAAAAAAGATAAAATTGAAAAAAAAAAATGTATATAGTACTGGATTAAAAAAAGAAAAGAAAATAGAATAGTCTCCAGATATTTACCTATTAATTACCCAGTATGTTGTGTTTACCTACTTAGATTTTTAAATAGTGCAAAATTAGCTATCTATCTCTCTTGCTTATTTGCTCGATCGGATCGATTCTGCCTTGATAGTGCCGACAGTATCAAGTATACATATACTTGTATTAACGTATAAGCTATGAATTGGATAAGGCATAAAATATTGTCACATCAATGTAAGAAATTTAATAATAATCATATGATAAACTACCTTTTTATCGTTTGTTTCGGAAGTAAAATACCACTTCTAAATGGCGTACCAAAATAAAACATTATATTTGTAAGATTATCTACTTCGTACACAAATATTTACACAAAACTCTAGCTTTTAGATATTTTTCTACGAGTACTTTGGTCACTGTTATTGATAACTTAATCAATTAATCAAACAACTATAGTGTCAACAATTATGCTTGCAATTATTATGCACGCAGAAATATTTGAATGTATAGCTATTTAAATTAAATATTGTAAGAATTAACATTAAATACCAACCAGTGAGGGTGTTTAATAGTGCCTAAACTACGCTTGTTGCATTGCAAGCAAACACTGATTAAGCAAGGCGTTGTTTTCATAAGGAGAAGCCGTGGAGAGATATGCGACTCATACAAAGAGAAACATTAATTTATTTTTTATTTATTGTATCCCATAAAAGAAATAGAACAGTCATGTTCTCTTAATAATGACTACGACCTCTCTATCAAGAGTATAGTGGCTAAGATTTTTTTATTCATTTATTTTAAAGTGCCAAATAATCTTTCTAATGGCATGGTACTCAAGCTGGATATCTCGTGTAATGAGAAACTAGGTAATGAATATCGGAGGCAGAACCCAGAACACCCAAACCGAACACCCGAACCAGATCGGATAGATTCCGAAATGTTCGTTTTTAAATTGATCCGTTCGGGTATCGAACTGGGATCTTATTAACACAGAGCAACGCCTAGAACATAAACTATCTATGTATTAAAGTTCAATCAAATTGTTGTTAGACTGAGTCAGTAAATGATATCCAAATTTATTCATATTTATTATAAATCGTACCAGAATTAATAATCTAAATAATAATGAAAATAAAATAATACGATAACTGCTATTAAAATCAACTAACAAATTAATTAAATTCTATGAAAACCGGACGTTTTTATGGTAGGTAATTAAAGATATTTTTGACAAACCTCCTGCAAATCTATTGAGTTATTATCTGCTTATAATTTTGTTAATAATGATTACCGTTATCTTTTTGTGTTTTAAAATATTTAATAAGTATCTATCTACAAGTTTAATATAATAATTATATTGTATGTAGGTAACAATATTGATTATACATATCTATCATGCTTAACGGCAGGGAAAAGAGGGATTGTTAGTAATGGGGATTTTAATGTCCATTGCGGGCAATATACTCTGCCTGGTCGATATCCATGTAGTTCTCCCTGGAAACCGGTGTTACTAATTCTAATTCTTAAATCCGTCACAATGGGCTGACTGACCTGGTTTTATTCTTATCTATCATCAAGTGTCCCGCCAGCGTATACCAATAGCACAAGCAGTTTCCATTCCATTATCATCCACATGTTTAGTAATCTTTAAATAGGTATACGAAATACATTCAATTAAATTATTATTACATTTAGATATATGTTAAAAATTTTTTTGCATAAGTCACAGAAAATATCTTAATTTTAAATTTATTCCAAATGTTATGTAACCAAAAACTAAAATACTCGTGGTTGGTTTTAATATCACTTCTCAATGATATTGATAGAAAAATATTGTTCTACGAGAAACAAAATAATTATTATTATTCAATCATTAAGCTTCTTAAACCATAATATCTTTTTAAAAAAAATAATAATTAAATTTATTGCCATTCTTCACAGAAATTATAATGTACATATATTCATATCGTGCAGTATTCGTATGCGCCTGGCAATAGGTACAAACTCAGCTTTTGCTGGACTGATGTTCGTTCAGCGCTGATTTTCAGTTTGCACCTACACGGGGCACCGTTTCATTATCAAATATTTATATATATTGATGTAGATATTACACAAAAAGTAAAAGAAAAAACAAAATCTCAGAAAAAAATAAGTATAAAAACAATAAATAAAAGAAAAAAAAAATAACAAGAATATCTATAATTCTGATAATAATAAGTTTATTTCAAAGTAAATGTTACAAACATCTTTAAACATAGGTGAAACCCTACTATCTAAATATACTATTTAGTATGCATATTAGTGTTTGATATATGTATATTAATAAACTTCAAAATATATGTAAATATTATTATAGGTAAATACTAAGGACTTTTTTATACAGTATAGCATGACTGATATATCTACATACGTGACTCCCATATGGCTTGACCCCTTTTTGTACGAACAATGGAGAGGTCAAGTTATGTTTTTTACTTGCTCGACCGACTCTGATAAAATATACATTGGTTTTTAAATTAGGCTAATTTTAAAAACCAATACCATAGAGAGACTTTGTACAAAAGTCGTTTGCTTGGGTACCTTTGTCCCATTCGTGTTTCAACTGTAAAGCAGTTGTGTTTGCATGGCTGTGTTTTGATTTGAAGGGTGGGATATGGCGTGAATTTATAGGGTACCGAGGAATAACATCTGAGTCCTCAGGAATGGCAACGCATGGGGGGTATCATGGGCGAAACAGTATACTCTGTTATGTCCATGGTACTGCTCATGTCTATAGGCGACAATTAGCGCTTTCCATCAGGTGGGCCGTCAGCTTGTAACCCATTCTAAGTTGTATAAAAAATAATAATAATAGTAGTAATTAGATACTCACCGTTGGAAAGGGACCTCTGAAGCACAAATAATTCCCCATACTGCTGATAATAGTTCTCGTTATATGTACAATTATATAACATGCTATTTATTTTATATGACTAGCGGCATAGATTATTATGTAGATAGTAGGTAATAGATCATATTATTATATGTATGTGAAGCGTAAATGAGACTACACGCAAAGCTATTGTCTGAATATGTAGACATAGGTAGCTAGGTATCATATATTTTCTTGCTTTAGGTACTATCATCATCGTCATTTCAGCCATTACCTGTCTACTGCTGAATATAGGCCTCCCTCTATTGGGGGGTTTTGCCAATAGTTGTCAAGCTTTCCTCCCTAGACCATTAAGTTCCTTTAGTTATCTTTTACAACACCCACGGGAAAGTAAGGGTCAGCCTTGTCAGCGATGTCGGAATCATACGGGGCAAAGCAATTATAATTTTTGAGGACAATTTTTGAGGAAATAATTTTGTAGCTTGTAATTTTTAATTTTACACATTAGTACGGTATATTTTTTATTAGTAAAAGTAAAAGCTATGTATATTTGCAGCTTAATGGGGATATCTGCAGAAAAACAGAACCAAAGTGACCGACATATGCCGAAGAATAAGCAAATTGAAGTGGCAATGGGCTGGTCACGTAGCTCAAAGAACCGACAACCGATGGGGAGAAAATTTTCTTGATCCTCCACTAGATGGAGTGACGACCTCAAATGGAGGGGGAGTCACACGGAGTCAGTGGATGTAAATGACTCAGGATCATTCCTTATGGCAGTCTACGGGGGAGGTCTTTGTTAAGCAGTGACCAGATAATGGCTAATATGATGATTGTCACTTGCGCATGCTCTACCACTAGTAGATTTTACAAGAATATTAAGACAAAAGAATTAGTTTGTTAGCCATTCCTGGCTGATATGCTTGTGTACAGATCTTATGAGAACGGAAATATTTATTTTAAACAGAAACAGAAATGGCCTACTTGAAGTTGTCAACACAACAATAACAAAATTATATAAGGTTTGTAAATTAAAATATACAGTTCCGAATTATATATCTGGTATAAATTAATTATCGAATAATACCTCTTTAGATGAATTGGCAGCTATCTAGTTATTATCACACAAAATTAATTTATATTTTATATAAAGAAATATGTCAATTTGACATTTAAACCTATTTAATTTAATAACTACAAAAATAATCTAAAAAATGGGAAATTTTACAAGTATGAAAATAATACAGTTGTAAAACTAAAAAAAGTCTTTTTCTATGTATTGCCAATAGGGTAGCGGTATGTTGTCTTCATTTATTTACTTACTTTTTTCCCTGTAATTATATTTCTATAGATCCACTTTTGGTTATCTACATATAATCGTTACTTAAATATGTTTATTTCCGTACTATCATTAATTTTATTGACTATGTATTTTATTATTAAAGTAAAATTTCATCATAATGTAATAGTAAAGTACCTAGATACTATGAGATTTTTATGTATAAGTACCTAAAGAGGCCAATGGGGTATTGGATTATCGTGTATTATGAGATTAGTAAGTTATGATGGTACACTATTAGGAACCCTAAATGCTCCATCTTTCTTGCAGATGGCTGGTTCAGCAAAATTATTAGTAAGATGCGGCTGGCCAGTGGCATCTCAAATTGAACCTTTGCTGAAGTGTTGTAATTGTAGTTGGAGACGGAATTTGTCTTTCCCATTGCATACTCACATAACCCGCACACTTTCAACAAATTTTAAACTACAACCTCCTCTCCAATTTCGACAATTCGATCCTCAAAGGGAACAATATGATGACCAAAAATTACTCCAAGACGGATCGAGGCGAACTTTTAATTTCCTTAATGGTTTTCCAAAAACATTGTTTTTTCGTAAGAGGGATAATAAAGAACAAAAGAAACGTGTACCTAAACTTATACTGGTTCAAAATCCTTTTACATGGTTGATGATAAAAATTGACTTTAGCGTATTAAAAAATGTTTGGGATCCCACATTCATGGAGAAAGAGTTTAAATTTGGTACAAAACAGGTGAGAATAATTTAAAACAATGCCTAGATTCATAATAGCGTATAAACGGGCATGAAATATATTTAATTGACATTTAATATCTGATGCTGTAAACAGATCAATCTGCAAACTATACAACTTTTCGATAATAGCATATTGTAGGTATATTTTATAAGTGCGAAAACAAATCTAATCATACCTGCACATACATTGAATTTTTTTTTATTTATGGAATATTAGCTGAAATCCCATCTGAAGGAAAATAACCATCACCTTTTACCACCTACCGTGCGAACACCACTATCAACAATACGCTATATGATTCCCATGGTACCGTCTCTCATGTGTTGCTCTGCCATTTCTAAGTACTAAGACAATGAGGTATATTCAGTGGCACTATTCTTTAAAACGAATATTTCAATTTAAAGCTTTCTTATAAGTATTGATTTATGGACCATTATAAACTATAATTTTAATAATTTAGAGAATCGATTTAAAATCTAGTTCATATTAGTTAACTAAGAATAAAGATATTACTGTGACCTATTTACCATCTAAAATTTAAATGGGATTAATTGATATTGTGATATAAAGTTTGGGACTTAAAAAAAAAACGCAGTGTAGGACGACCCGCCACTAAATGGAGTGACGACCTGAAATATATTGCAGGGAGTCAGTGGATGCAGGTGCCTTAGGACCGTTTTTTATGGCAGTCTACAGAGGAACGTAAGCCACGTTCAGCAGTGGACGGATAATGACTGAAATGATGATAAAAATGTGATGATGGATATTTGGATATTTGTTGTTCAAGCTTAAACGGCTTAATAGATTTGAATGAAATTATTATCTTGTACATAGGTGGACCATATCCTGGGTAGCGTGATTATATAAGATATTCTTATCCTTATTGTCTTAGGTTTAATAGGTAATTGATAGTTTATTTTTAAGTACTTGCTGTAAACACAATTAAATTATATTTTTTATGAAATGGTTATGTACAGGCTATATCACGTGTGACTCAAGTAATTAGCCAAGGCGAATATGGCGAGTTGAATGGTCTTCTGACAAAACCTGCTCGATTGAGTTTGTTGCGTGAATTAGAGCGCAACTGGAACGAGCGTCAGCGATCCCTGCTGGCATTACATAGAAATGACATTCAGATATCTTCCCCGCGCAAAGTATATTTCATTAGAATTGCTGGTACGTGAATACTTAGTGAGTACTTAGGTGTGCTTACATGAGCATTTTTTAACAATAATTTCACAATGTTAACGATTGTTACTTCATATAAGCAGCAGCTAGTAGGTTACAATTGCAATCATTTCCTTGAATTCAATATAATTCTATTCAATTTATTTATTCGCTACAAAACTACATTGTGTCGAATATTTTTTATAAGTAACAAGAAGATATAAAATATAACAAAACAAATTTAACTACTAGAGTTTAAGAGTGTTAGTACAAAACAGTAAAAATACAGTAATATCTAGTTTAAGTGGGTATTAATGTATTTTTTTTATTTTGACTACCGTGACAATACACTTTACAGAGTATTTCCAGGATCATGCAGTTGAAATTTTCGGTGTAAGAGTACCTTAAATTATTACAATAGAATTACATAAACTCAGGCATATTTAGGTAGGTATCAATTTAGGCATACATTAATATCTTTATTTTAAAATTAATCATCTATCAAATTTGGTCATTGGATATTTTCTTCAACATTTAATCTTACCTTATTTTTTGACTTCATTATGAATTCGCAACTGACATGAGAACATTTTTTTTTTATTTTACAGATAAAAAATTTTGTGATGTGGACATGGCGTTCTTGGCACTTAAGTGGACTCCAATAAATAGCATCGATTCTTTGATATTCACAGAAATATTTGCCAGATTTCATCGTGAATATACACCTCACTGTATCCCAGAATGGACCATAGCTTATTTTAAGGTTACACGATTTGAAGTGTTACGTCGATAATCATGATAGAAAAAAAATTGTTTAATATTGATAAAATTGTTGCTTTATTGAATTTATATCTGGCGAAATAAATATAATGTAATTATCTGTTCAAATGATTTATCAATATCTGTATAAAAATAAGTTGTCAGCTATTACGGTTATTACTAGTTTGCACAAAAATAAAAAATATTGAGTTACAGATCTAAAATAAGCGTATAAGGGTTTTCGAGATATCTTTTCAATATATTGGAGAAGCGTGCCATCGTTACACCATCTATGACTCTGTGGTCTGCAGACCAACTGACGGTCAGTATGTGTGCTTTAACCACATTGCCCTCCGAATCAAATCTAGGTAACACCTGAAAGCAAAAAATTTGACAGTAAGTAAGTACACTAAAATAGGTTGTCTGTTTCAGTGGAATTTAATGAAAATGTCTTGATCATAAGTCAGTCTCCAGATGGTCAATAGTAGCAGAAATAAAAAATCTATTAATAGCTTGTTTACATTTATTACTAATTTTATTCAAAGATTTATTTTTGATTATTTAAACAAAACTTAGTTAACTTTTCATTAAATTCTATTGAAACACGTGAGTAGGTATGTATATTTTTTAATAACAAAATAACATTACCTGTATTTTTCCCAAAGCGCCTATTGCAACTTGTGGCGGAAAAATGACAGGCTTAGTGTAAGTCCCTCCAACCTGAAATTAGAGTGTTTAATATAATTTATAATTATTATATCACTTCATTTACATACCAGATAATATTTACTGTTAACTTACTATGCCTATATTGGAAATTGTAAAGGTACCACCACTTAAATCATTAAGTCCTAGTTGTCCTTGTGAACCCTTGTCTTGTAAAACGTTGAGTTCACGTGCTATTTCCAATATATTTTTATTTTGTACATTCTGAAAAATAATAACAGAAACAATTATATTAGTGGTTTTTAATTTGTTCACCAGTAAATTAATAATGCTTGGCTTTATTATAATAACTTGAGATTGTATTCCACAAAAAAAGTTTCAATTAGTAATGGGCATAGATGGGATGCAATGCAACTGCATTTGTTAAGTCATGAAAATGAATCTTTGAAATATACTGTTCAGCTTTTTAGTAAGTAACTGCTATTAGTAAATACCAAATAGTTGAAAAATGAAATTATCCTGCTTGCTTTGGTACAGCCAGATATATATTTTAAGACATTTCCTGAATCGAAATCGAAAATATCTTTTGATTAATTTACCTTAATTACTGGAACTACAAGACCGTTGGGTGTATCCATTGCGACGCCTATATTATGACTTGCTTTATATATTATATTGTCACAAGAGTTGTCTAAGCTACTATTTAGTATAGGGAATGAGGTAAGACCTAGTGATACAGCTTTAATAATGATTGGCATATAAGTCAGTTTAATTCCATGCTCTTGTGCAATAGTTTTTAAACTGTCCCGTGATTGGACTAACTTAGAGACTTCGTATTCATCACAATATCCAAAATGTGGTATTTTCTGAAAAATAAAATTATACTTTAGTAATACAAAAAGAGAAGTAAGACAACAAATTTAATAATAATAGGTTCATAATAACTAGTATATTCAACAAAATATATAAAAAAAGAAGAAAATACATAGGGTAATACATAATATGAATGCATATGTGAATGCAAATGTTGAATATGTAGTGCAATAATAATGAAAACGGACAGATAGCGATCTATGAAAGACCAACCTACAAAATTTTATTAAAAATAAACTAATTAATAACATTCGACAAAATAGAGAAATAACTTTGATAATACCATAGCTTCAGTCATCGACTTCACCATTGCTTTCGTAAATCCAGTGACTGGTACTGTTCTGTCTTCTATTAATACTTCTGTTCTAGCCTGTGCTTGCGTTACTGATATGGGGACTGCCGTCACTTGAGTCGAGTCTGGTACTGGTACTTCATTTGATTTATCCGAACTTATGTTTAAGTGTGCCAAAAGATCTTCTTTTAAAATTCTGCCATTTCTACCGGTTGATTTTACCGTACTTAAATCTACCTGAAAAGCGTAATATATTTTTAAAATAATTATTTATAGTAAAAAACTAACACATAAAAATGCATACAAGTTTGTACAAATTGTCAACATACCATTATGCGTTTTAAAGTTTGTTTTATATAATTTATATATTAATAGATTTTTCTTGTATAATCGTTGCAACAAAAATCTTTTCAATTCAATTGGAGCTAGTTATACAGAAAACAGCTACGTACCCGAGATGTTCATAAGAGATGGCTATTTTCTGCATAACTAGTTCTAATTTATATAGGTAAAGCTGAGGTTACAACTATTATTTAATAATTGTATACTGACTTTGAATTGTGCTGCAATTCTCCTAACTGCTGGAGTCGTCAATACTTTTACTCGTTGGTTCACATCAGTTTTAGGAATATTCGGTGAACTTGTTTCTGTATCTAATTCTAAAGATGTATCTGTAATGTTAATGCAAACTATCGCTTTAGACATATTACACCCTCTAGTCAAGGGATAAACAATTACATCGACAAATGCATTTCACTACCGTATCATCACCATCATTTTAACCATTATCTGTCCACTGCTGAACATAGACCAACCCTATAGACTGTCATAAAGAACGGGGGCGTTCCTTATGGCAATTCACTATTGGAGGGATTTTACTAGTAATTGCCAGGCGGATTGAAAACCGCAGTTAGTCTTTGGTGATGTTTTAAGAGGGACGCTGCTGCTCAACGCTCGATCATTAAGTTCCCTTAGTCGCCTCTCACGACACCTTTGGTATATGCTTACTACCGTATGCTTATGCATATTAAAAAATAATTTAAAAGCCAGCAACGCATTCGGTAAGTGCAAATTAGACTGGCGCACTCAGTGTTCCGTAAAATTATAATTAGAAAAGAAATATTTTACAAAAAAAAATGTGATGATAAATTTAAGTATTTGGATTATTTTCTTTAATTTGAACTGTACTACATTGCGTTTTGCCAAAATTTATGATTTTAGGTCAACCCTGTAGGTTTTGATTTCCTTATAAATGTTAAAATATATGCTATAAAAGGCTGTATCTTTTGGTTGCGTTGATTTAGAAGTTTGATATTTTTACAACTTCGAGGGATTGCAGATTTCAGTTTTAATTATTTCATTAATTTGCGAAAAAATATTCATTTACCATTACTACTTTCCCCATCATCTTCGACGTCAATATCAACAAGAGGTTGTCCAACTAATGCTGTCTGGTCGACCTCATGGTACAATCGTTTGACAACACCATCATACCGGCTGGTAATGGTGACTGCCGCTTTGTCACTCTGCACTTCACAAATATTGTCGAACTGCTGAACTTTGTCACCGACCTTTACAAACCTGGAAACTTTGTGTCTCAGAGTCTATTTTTAGAAATAAACATTCATTTTAAAAATTTTAGTTTAATTCTTTCATATCCGGTAATTTTACCGCCATATTTCACTTTTTAAACCGGAACTGCCATGTTGTCATTGGTGCTTTTTTTTTTTTAGAGTTTTCCATGCAAACGATTTTCGTACATAGTAGGGAAATCTCAGGATATGGAGACACCTAAGTCCTTATAAATGGTATTATGTGAGGAGTACTATGGACGTCATGGTATATTGTTATATCCACCATTCTAATTAATTTTATTGCCATTTCAAATCGGCACTTAAAAATACGTTTGATCAAAATTAGATTACAATTAACAAGATCGAAGGAATATGATGAGTAAATATTACAGGTAAAGTATCAAAATTTGTCTTAATAGTTTGTTACAGTATTAAAAGACATTCAAATATTCAAAATATCCACGCTCATAAAAAAACCAAGTGCATAACAATTTCAAAATATTGTATGTCTTACCATTCTTTAATTACGACTTCTCGTATTCCTTCGCCTATGTCAGATAATTTGAATGCGATAGTTTTATTGAGAAGTGACGTCGTATGAAACTGATGGCGGCACTGTAAATAACGTCCTGTGACGTTATATCGTAATATGGTATTGCTGCATAGTAGACTATTTTTCTGTAACAATATTTCAGTAACTACTTATTATTCAAAATTTTTGAAATCCATCTTTTTTGGCGGCCCAAAGCAAGCATTTTTATTAGTGATTTTATCAATTTCATGTTATTTCGTAATCATAAAAATTGTTCGTGAAAATACTTAATAATTTTTAGTCATAAATTTGAAAGAATGATATAAATCTTCTTAATTTGATTATTATTATTTAAAATAATATAAATAATCCGGAAAATTTTAATTTACATTTCTGTAGGACTCTGCTGTACGAGTATATAAAAACAGCCTAGTTGTTTAATGGCCTTCTTGGCATAATGATTCAGCATATTGTTCGTAAATTACATTCGAGTCTCAATAATCAGCTAGAAAGTTAGCTGAATAGGTAAGTAACCTATTACTACTACACGTAAAAATTATAATATCAGCCGCAGTCTACTTTATTATTAAATTATTAAAACATTTATTCTTGCACGAGGTTTGTATATTGTTTAATATTTAATTAATTAATTTATAAAAAAGCTCTTTCATTACGTAATGTGAAGTCAGTAATGTACTGTACGGTACGTAATGTACAGTAAACTATTATATACCTATTTTCCGATTAGTAATCGGTATGTACAATAATACATATTTTAATAATTTATACCTAAACAGACAACATTAGATACATATTCTAATACAGGTTAGTTTACCTACCTATATTATAAACGGACTCGCGGGTATTTTTTAGTTATTTACATAAACCTCGAACGTAGTGATGTGTGCGGTAATTTAATTACGTGATTACTTATATTGTTTTAAAATGCGTAACTTAGTTATCATTATTACAATTGTCAAATTCAAGGTCTAGAAGAAATCACATGAACCCTGTTTTACAAGAGAGGATTCCGTACTCTGATACGTTTGTTTCTAGGTTTTAGTTTTTAATGATTGTTGATTGGAACATACTGATTAACTAGAATAAAGCGCAGCCTATGTCCTTCTTCATCCCGAATACGTTGCCAATGAGAATTTTATCGCGATGATTAGGTTGTTAAAGTACTAAAAGATAACAAACACGCAATCTTACTTTCATATTTTAATAACATGGCTTTATATTTTTATCACAAGCTATTATGTTATCATAAAACAAAAAGAGAAAAATGTGAAATAACAACCACCGTGATGCAGTTATAGGTATGTTACTTTGCGTAAATGAGTTCTCGAATTTGATACCCTGTTGGGCCAAAAGAAACTTTCTGAATTAGCTCGGGTTTGGGTATTCTGGGTACTGACCCCAAATGTACATTGCCTAGTTCCTCATAATATATGGAATCCTAGCTTGATTTTTTAATGTATCTGCATCTACTGTATTACGTGATTATATATGATTATGTTTCAGTGTGGTCCCAGCATAGAATAGGCCACCCCTTCCTTCACGTAGGTGTCGTAAGAAGCGTCTAAAGGAGGGCGAGGGATAGGCCCTCCTAAAACATATCAAAAGCCTAACTGCGGTTGCCAATCCGCCTGCCAAGCGTGGCAACTACTGGCAACATCCCTTGATAGAGGGAGACTTATGTTCAGCAGTGGACAGTTTGGGCTGATATGATGATATGATTATGGTTCATAAACACTATCTTTAGGGATAACATTGTGGATGCATCTTATATCTAATTATTTTATTTACTAATAGAGTATAGGACATTTTTAAAATATAAAAGTAAGTGCTATAGATCCCTAATAAACAAACTTAACGTCAATTACATAAAATTATCTCGTATGACATGCCATTATTAACTGCTTTGATAAGATGTCTGAAATGTAAGCATACTATTTCATAATCGTTATCTTATTGCTATGATGAACGTGCATGTTAAGTAGTTAAAAGCTGATAGGTATATTGTGGTATATTTCCGAGTTATTCATTTATACGATTGTGAAAATATCTCAACATCAAGTTAATTTTTTAGTAAAATTTCTACTTTGTTTTAATAATAATTGCAAGCGAGTTTTTAATCTTATTGCTAATAATTCCAACTTCGTACATGTCATCGCGATATATTGATTGACTGGGATAAAAAGTAGACTATGTTCTCCTCTATCTCATTACTATATGTACTATATTAAACTTCATGACCATTGGTTGAGATTTTAAGATGACAAGAGTTAACAAATAAAAAAACAAACCCACTATCACATTTTTAATATTATTAACTTTGATCCAACCTCATGATACGAGATTTTTGTATATTAATAACAGTAAAGATAATGTACACATGTCTTTACGATATCACTTATTAATGAGGTAAATAAGTATTTGATGACTGTTACTATTATATATTATTTACTTACGGTACTAGTATAGCACTATTATCTAAGGTGAAATAAGATTTGTCTATTTTTAATGTACCTAATTGTTTATAGAACGTTTTACTTTCCATTTAATTTTCGATAATTGTAATCTGATTTATTTTGGTGCGTTAATTGACTGTTTAATATATAAATAGTTAATTAATTACTTAAGTGATAAAATATGATTTTACTTTAACTTAAAATATAGTTAATTCATCATAATTAATCACTTATTTAAAAATACCCAAATAATACTTACATTGTTACAAATCAACGCACACAATTTTTGAATCCTATGCACATTTTTAAATGTCACGATACATTTTCTAGTAAAAAACGACATACTTAACAGTCACACAAATAAATTTGTTGTTATTTCGGTAATTTGTTACATAAATATTTTATTATATTTTTTACGGAGCATGTCGCGGACAGACACCACGGGCATTGTGACGAGTAATGTCGTACTAACCGCTATCGTATTATCAGTGTGCTGTGCTGCCTTAGCTCGATTAACATTTTAACTATAAATAACAATTCAAATTGAATTGTAAAGAGTGTGTCGCGTAAGCATCAGAGGTCATGGTTCGTATGAGTAATAATAGTATTACTTAACTCAGAAATCTCTAATAATATATTTTTAAAAAGTATTTAGAAATTATAAAATATGTTTCAATTTTATTTATTTCATGCATGTCTGTTGCAGAACATAAGCCCCATAAGGGGGTTTTTGCTAGTAGTTGCCATACTTAGCAGGCTGGTTGGTAACCGTAGTTAGGATTTGATGATGTTTTAAGAGGGACGCTGCTGCTAATCTCTCGACCATTAAGTTTCCTTATTGGTTTCTTACGACAGCCATGGGAAATGAGGCGGTGTATTTATTTATTTATTACTTACTTTTTATTAACAAATAAATAAATTTGCCTTCACAATTATAATGTTAGTGACGATTAACTCTTTATTGCACTGATACTGAGAAATAAAATATATAAACAGAAAGATTAAAAGTAATTGGAGGTATAAAAGTCGGATTGTTTTAGCGATAACAATATCTTCCAGAAGATCTTTGGGAAGAGTACGGAGACGAAAAATAATAGGTAGCACATAAGTGGTAATAAGGAAAATAATAAAATAAAAATACAATCTTATTTACGAGTACTCTTACGAGTAGGTATATATAAATAGAGAAAGTCTTTTGGTGTTTTGTTACTCAAAAGGAATTGAATGAAATTTGGCTATACCTTAAAGAACTTTTTAATGTAATTTATATAAAATGTAAATTATATTTACAATTAGTATGTTACACTTATAGTTGAAATGATGAAAAAAATCTTTCCTTACTAATATAATAAAATTGAAAATAGACGACATTTGTACACAGGAGATATTTAAGAAAAATTGATATAAGGCGTCTTAATAAGACCAGTAGAAGCCAAAACAATATGTTTTATAAATTTTCTTTGTATGCCCTTATGTTGTTTCCAACAGCACGCAAAAACTATTGCATCAAATTAAATGTCTTCACGTTCGTGTTTTTATAGGTTTATCTTAAAATCTAGTATATGTATTAACTTGATTCGCCGTCTAGAAGTTGTCTGTTTCATTGGTTTTCTATTTCTAAATACATATGAAATTGCGGGCAAAAAGCTAGTACTTAATTTAATTTAAAGTTTCGTAAGCACACATTATACATAAATGTAATAACTTATTAGGCTCGCGCTCGCATCACAATTGCTCATGACTAAGGATTACGAATTGATTCCGAAACTAGTCGAGCTTTCTCGATCTAATTATGCGTAAGTTAAACCAGTGATTATTGCATTAAAAAGCTAGTATTAAATAATAACGTATGTTGTCTATGCTAAACAATATTATGGATGTCGATAGATATCTCCTTGTTCTGAGGTCAGGCTTCACTTGATACCCCTCATTAGATAGGTAAATACGAGACGTTATCTAGAAATATTTTTAATATTACTGGTTTAGTGACTTCATCCGCGTGACTTTGACTAGATATATTGATAAAAAAAAAAGTTCGAAACTAAAACCCGAATACTAAAAAATCCTAAAGTGCTCTAGATTGGATGTCAAATTATCATGTACAAATTTATTTTTTTTTTTGATTATCATTTTATAAAATGCAGAAACTACCTTTTCATCTTGTTGACACATTTTAAATACACTATCGGGATTTAACACGACTCGATTGTAGGTAAATAAACTTTTTAATAGATAGTATATTATATTAAGGGATTGTTAGTAATGGGGATTAGTATCCCCATTGCTAGCAATATACCTTGACAGGTCGACCTTCTCGTAGTTCCCCCTGGAAAGCATCGTGATGGATTTATTGTAAGATTCGTCACGGTGGACTAACTGACCTGCTTCATCCTCACCTATCATCCCTCACTGGTGCCCCACCAGTGTATACCAATAGCGTAGGCGAGGTTACCAAAATTTTAATCAAATCGGTTCAGTCATTTATTTTAGGTATATAGATAATAATCTGTAAAAGCAATGGATATCTGTATTACCTACCAGATTTATGGAAGATTTTGAACTATTCTGATATTTCGGGCGCTTAACATTTTCTTCAATAATAGCAACGCATGATACCATGAGTATCTTAGTATTTTGTATGGTGACCATGCCATTGTTGCTGTTTATATTATAGGGTAAAAGTCCGTTGGACCATTTTTATATGAAAATAATTTTTAAAGTGTTATACTTTAAAAATTATCTCCGTTCTTCTTTTCCACATTTTTCTCGTATTTAGATCACTCTTCATTTAAGAGTTTCCTCTTGTTGGTGCAACTAATTCATGCACCTTCTTCCAGCCAGCTCTATCCCAGGCCATATCCTTGACTTCCCTATACGACATGACACCTAGTGTTTCTTTTATCTGTCCCATGTAGTTATTCCTCGGTCTTCCTCTTCCTCCTTTGCCCTCTATTTTTCCTTCTACTAGGGTCTTAAAAAATCATCATGTCGTATAAGGTGGCCCAGTATTTTGCCTCTTCTATTTAGATATGATATGAAAATTATAGAATATTCTACCTGCATTAACGTGAAAACTGACACATAGAAATAAAACTACACAGTAAGCAATCGTTTTATTAAAGACATAATAAACATGTTAATAAAGTGAATAAATACAATATATATTCGATAATTGTAATGTTATGCATGACGAGACGCAGAGGGCAACCCATAATAGAATAATATCAGATTGCGAATACAATAATGCTGTCAAACGACGCGACGACTCCTATTCTATAGCTAACGTGTATCACAGAGGCGCTCGTACGCGAGTTTGTTATGTCATTGTTTTAGTTTCCACACTTGCATCTAACGTTAGGAGAACACAAGATGAAACGATTCTTTGGAGAAATAGATAAACATTTTCATTACAATTTGGCCCTCTAATCAAAACATAACATACACATAACTGTTATAAAAATGATAAAGCATGTCTGGTGTTTCGTTCTTTATTATATTTCGGGTAGCGTAATAATATTAAGAAATCATTTAAATTGCTGTTTGTATAGAGGCTAAGCAAAGACGCTGTAATTTTTATAATAAATATATATAAAATTTAAATATAATCGACACTAAAGGAATTTAATAAAAAAGAGCAAAAAGAGAATACTATATAAAAGATATAAAAAAGGTAATAATTATTAAAAATAGATGTTTGTCTAAAAACAATGTTTAAGTAGACTGCCTCGCGCCTTGCACATTTTTGTATGAATTTGTCGATATACGAGTATATCACATCGTAACTGTTTTTACGAATTAGGGTTACGAAGGTATATCGAAGAATATATAACATTTACATTTAAATGAGGTGTTATGTACAAATGTCTTGAAATTCATTTGGTTTAGTATATCCAAGATTTATACTTTTATATCGAGTGGAGAACTTTCAATAATATTAATAAAATACGGCTAATTAAGTTCGAGTTTTGTACATTAGTGGATATTGTAAATAATGTATAATAATTTATAGAAATAAATTTTGAGATAATATTGTTTCTTTTAGGCTATCATAAATAACATAATACTAATATAATAATACCCACGTACTATGTTGGGTATTGTTACACTGTATACTTTTTTTAAAAAAATTCTTCGAGCTAAAAGAAAAGCAGTCATAATAATTAATTTATAATATTTTTCATTTTGCATGAAGAATAAAAATAATAATGCTAAATACTTATGTAGTATAATACATAATAATGCTATATAATTTGTTAATGTTTAAAATAATGGTATCACTGAATATAATAATGAAATCAATATACAGTTGTATATCATATCAATAACACATGGGATTGCAGACATTACTTAAGTTACATACTAATTTTAATTTAGTGCAGAATATTATTAATTATTGCAATAGATGGAAGATCATTTAAATTAAGAGTTAACAAAAATCACAACACGGTTTGAGTTATGGATAAAGCTGTATTTAGTATTAAATAAATATGGAAGACATTGAATAAAGATGCCAAAATCAAGTATAAACTATCTAACATATGTATTTTAACAATCATTACGCGTTATTATTTCCAAATGAAAAAGTATTTATTTTATATATTTGAAAATGTGAGTAGTCATCACGACTATAGTTTTTATTGTAAATGTCACTTCAATCTCTTTTATGTTTTTACAACATAATTTACAAAGCCAGTGAGAATGACGTATACACAGTACGTGAAAAAAGTGTCTATCCATATTTTTATGTTTTACACCTTATCAATTTAAAATTTCAAGTCTAGTTGTTATTTAGTTATCAAAATGTCACTAGCCTTTTATAATGTTATATTTTTACACCATAAGAGCAAGGCCAAAATTTTTGTAGTTCTTTTAAGGTGTCGGCAAAGAGAAAAGTGTGAAAAAGCTGTCAATGATACCTAATCTGGTGAAAATAAAATTAGGTAGTCTGTCAAATATACGGCAATGTAAAGTATCTACTTAAGTGATGTTTTACTTTAAACACACACTGGTCTCTTTGTCGAAATTTACCATAAACTAAACCATTGATAATTGAGATGATAATGATGATAGATCTGTTTAAAATCTGGATCGCCACCTATCCTGAACACTTGTACAATACCATCACAGAAGTAACTAAAGTGATAAGACAAGACGAAGAACGATATGTATTAGTATAAAAGAACCGTACAACCAATACGTAGGTACATTAAGTACCAAAAGCTTTTAAATCAGGTTGGTAGAATTTAAATAATGTGTAAAATTAATAATAATCATCCACATGTGATACATAGATTTACAAAGCATTAATAGCAAAAAAGCGAAGGGATTTTGCAGGTCTTTAGTGAAATTTCTTTCATGGAATTAATGAAAATATTGACTGATTAATCTTTGGTTGTACAGTAAGTTTTGCATATTACGGGTTGTAAATAGAAACTTTGACGAAGTTTATCATAAACACGAACACTACTTGCTCATCTAGTTTGACACCGTACAGTAATGAAGCGACAACATCAACTAAACACCGACGACGTACGTGAATTATTATTCTGATGTGAGAACACCTAATTTAGTACTAGCCGTACGACGAGACCCGTCCGACGATCGGATGATACATATCAAAGACTTGCTAAAGCATTTATGTGATTTCGTATGAGAATTTAATGTGAGAAATATCATCAATGTGCAATTTAATGTTTAAATAAAATCTTATGTTAATATTATTGTGCTACACTGTTCAAATTTTTATATTTAGCATTACAAAACAATGATGATTGCCTGTCTTATTCAGATTACTGGTTTCGCTGATATTACTGCGCCCATTTTTGTCTGATAATCCTACCTTATTTATAAATAGTAAAGTTAACGACATATTTGTATAGTGTACAATTCACAATTGGCCATCCGTCCCATATGACGTACCATTCGTTGTCATCATTTTCCTTTTTGTATTAAATTTCATATCACTTTATTTTATGACTTTTCGAACCGTTGGTATAATATAAACATCTATAAAGCGGTGGTCTTATAATAAATAACGATTGCACATATAGAAAACCAATAGATAAATGAAAGTAGGGAAATCTATAGTTTTATAATTTTTAGCACGAAAAATACTAGGTATGAAAGTCGCGTGACTAATTCCAGAAAGGCTAATGGAGTCTTCGTTAACTTAGGCCCCATATATACCTATTTTATTATTCATTAAGGATAACTAGACACGAAATATTATGTTGTTCCGTGATTTTACACAACGTCGAATTTGGTTTGGTGCTCATACATTGTGTATAATACATGTTTATTAAGCGTAACAAATGTCTACCAACAGTTTGGAAGTTTGAATAGTCCAAGATAAACAACATGGTCTTTAACTTTGTCATAATAGAACAAGGAGCACGAAAATAGGTACCTATATCTTTGTTGAATATAATTGAATATAAATCTTCACGGTAACTTTAAATACTTTTATAACGAATTTAACATATCTTAATACTAATAAACAATTATCGTAATATTAAAATACTTTTAGAATCCCACATTTAAATGTATCACTTGCTAAAAACAATAAATTCAAATCCACATTCATCAGCATTTCAAAGTAATGTTTCTCAGTACGGTTTTTTTAAGTTATAAAAATTAGCACTTTGGTATCCCTACTGTAGTGTTATCCGAGGTGCTTGAGCGTAATATTGCAACGTAACTTATTGTACATGTAGGTACATTTTATGCTATATAGGCTAGTCTAAGTCCTCACACAATTATTACAGTTCGTGATTAACACTATCACTCATAAAAATTAACAAATCCCATTTCTTATCACTAGGAAATTCACACCATTGTCAAATGCTGCCAACGATCACAATAACTATTTCAGTCTGTAATGTCTCCACTTCGAGCGAACGATGAGACTTTATATAATTATGAATTACAACAATAGTGCTTTTATTACCATTTATAACAGGAAGCTCTTTTATAGATGATTTAAATAAGTTCAATATATTAAAATCTTTTCCCTCAGCTCTTCCTATCAACAAGTTCAGAGAAGAAAAGATTCTAATAAATAGAGTAAAATTACGTTTTGTAGTCAAATTTCAACCTAGAAGTCTGTTGTGTGTGGCATAATCGTTCGCTCGTCCTGTGATCAGGGACTTGTGGTAGGCGAGGTGGACATTGCGGGACGTGGCGCGACAAGCGGCACCAGCTCGGGCTGGAGCCGCGGCCCGCGTCACACGGTGGGCTCCGCTGCTGCCGTAGCCACCTCCGCGAATTTCACTTCTCGGCCTCGTCGGAAGGATGCCGTGCGTCGCGGCGGGCTGCGACGGCGAACCGGCGGTTGCAAACTGGCCGACGAAGCCTGTGCTAGCAGCCGTGGCGGCTGAGGAGCGTTGCGCCCGAATGGTGACTGCCGCAGAAACTGTCGAGCCACTATAGGTTGCCAGTATGAATTTCCTGTAAAATACAAGAAATTGCAGATTTAGTGAAATTATAACCAGTATATTTAATTAACTCGTAGCATCATTTTTTAGATCGTTTATGTCTGTTAAGGTGTTACTATTTCTTTTATTTTATACAAAAGGAACTCATAAAAATTATTTACAAATGATACAATAGTTATATCATATAACTATAGTTATATCATAAGTATAGTTATTGTTTCTGAAAAAAATCTGATATTTATATGTAACTTGAAATGCCAAACAAGTTTACCTCTTACTCGATAAAAAGTGATAAATTGAAATACTAGAAGTACCTTGTCTACCTATATTATACTGTGCATTCTGTCAAATAAAGTTAGATGATACCTTTCGGTGCGGTGGTTCTCGCGCGCCAAGCAAGACTGCGAAGACGACCTCGGGCACCCTCATGCACGGCGTCAACACTTGCCGAACGCGTGAGGTGCGCCGGCGCACCTTCCCTTTCGTTTGCTCCTCCCGCGCTTAAGCCTTCACTCACAGAATATAGCTTGTGTGTTATATCTTTACCTAAAATATGAAAAATTGTTATAATTAGTAACACAATGATAGTTACTAAGTTGTAAATAAGATAAGTTACAGGGTTCTTATTGGGGTATGGAGACCAAATTATAAATAAATAGCAGTCGAAATATCAATATTTCGGTCATAAAAATAATATTTATTAAAAACTATTGATGTTATCACAATATAATTTTACGGTGTTAAATACATGTTTAAGGTCTTACTACAAAAAGGCGCCTAACATTTCTTTACATCAAAACAAAGATGCGTTAGATATTGTATTAACAAAGGAAAGATTTATAAATAATGAATTTATAAATAAGAATTATAAATAATGGTTATTATTTGTTCAGTTTATATTGGCCTTCTGTAATAATATTTCGAAAATGTGTTTAAAATCTGATCACAAGTTTAACTTTTATGTGATAAGACCAATGTATAGTTATATCTAATGTAGGTAATACGAGTATTTACTATTTCTTAAATATAATTTTGTATTACCTATGCAAATTTTTAAATCTATTTAATTGGTCTATTCACTTTTAACATGTATAAAATATAACAATTTGTAATAAGAATATAATTAATTATAATTAACAAGATTATATTCAACAAAAAGTCATCTTTAATTATAACTATGTTCGAAGAACGCCAGTTAATTTGTCACATAAAAATCTTAATATTCCTTTCTAATTGTAATATTAATTAATTTTATAATGTATCTTATTGATTGTATCTTATTACTGGGAATTTCACCATTTTATTTGTATTCTGACATAAATGTAAATGAGTTTGTCGGTGTATGTGGTTAATAGATACTATTAGAGCAATTCTGTAAAATTCAATTTCTATAGATATTTTCCTCCATGTATAAATAAAATATGGAACCAACCACCAGCAGCATTATTTCGAACCGATACGCCATCGAAACCTTCAAGGAAAGAGTAATGAATCTTTCTTAAAAGGCCACTTACAATATATTTGATGTCACGATCGGTGGTAATTACTTATCAACAGGTAAGCTACATGCTCGTTTATCCCTATATTATAAAAAATATAAAGAACCTAGGCCACTTTTGGGTCACTCTAGCAATCTTTATTGAAGTAGAATCCATCTATTCTTTATTTCGTACCTAACGCTATGTACGACTTACCTTAATAATTTTGTGCTACCATTTAGACCTATGTTAGTGTTTGCAAACACGTGTAAGCTATAAAATCCATATTTTATGGACCACAAGTTTCATAAATAAGTTGAAAACCTGAGTGAGGATGAAAATTACAATGTTTTCTAGCTATAAGTTAGATTATTTTAAGATATTGGGATTAATTTTGAAGTATCATTGCCTAAACTTATCTCTAAAATTTTAATTTTGTAGGTTAGCAAACTAATATAGTATTGACTATAGATCATCGATAAATGAATATACTAATTCTCGTTGATCTGTAGTCCATCCTCCATATATTATTTTTTTGGTAACCTTTTAAATTAAAATTGTAATTTTAAAGAAATTCTGATGCAATTTATCTAAAAAAAATATTTAGAATAATTATTTGGCTATGATAATAATAATAGTGTTTTTAAATTGATTCCCTGGCGTGTGTCTTCATATTTAAATATAATAGGAACAGAAACTTAATATATAATAGGAACAGAAAAAATAATTATTAAAATTTAATCTGTCATAAAATAAAAAAAAAATACTACATAAAAATGTTTTGTTTTTTTTTTATATTTGATTCACTAGAACATAAACATTAGAATACTTATCTTTTTTAAAGTCTTAATTAACGCTCTAATAAAACGTAAATGATCTACGGTTAAATTTATGACTATTCGTTAATGTATAATTATTTCGATTTGTTTTTATTTATCTAATCTAATTTGATGAACTATAAAGTACCTACTATTGTATTCTACGAAGTTACTAAAAATATCATATATCTATTTTATAAATTGAAATTTGTGTTGCATAACTCTTTACAAGTAGGTACATACTATAATTTGTAAGATCGACTATAATGGATTCGTGTTTACGCCTCGTCATTGGCATGTAATCTTCAGAACAAGTGCCAGCAATTCCATCAGTAAATTTGCTGGGGTGATCGTTATTAGGTACTTTCGAGGGAACGGTGGCTAAATATTTTATAAACGGCACATTTGAGAAAAAAATATATACGAGTATAGGAATAAAAAAAAGTTGCACTCTTTGATTGGTACTCCATGAGTGTGATATAATAAAAACATAAAATATACTCAGATATTTTTAATGCTTAAGATAAGAATCTTCACCAGAAGACCAGAGAATAAATTAAAACAAAATACAAGAACTTATTCCGTCTTTATGTTAATTTACACGTTATTCCTGACTTGTTTTCTTAGGCACATGCTATATAAAAAATATTATGTACTGTGCATTTTTATTAGTCAGATATGACGGAAATTTTAAATTTGATTGGCGTATAAACTTTGTACTTTCTAGTACGATTAATATCGATAAATGAGTGTTTATTTAAAACCGGTACTGCGCATCAAGATTCGCTTTCAACCCAACCCATTACAAAACTAGCTAAGTGTCCAATTTATCTATCAATATGTTGTTTAAATAATATATTTTTATACATGAAATAGTGTTTTCAATAAAATTAGCATATAATCATATTGAAATAAATTCCTTTCAAACAAAAAAATAATAATCATTGAAATCGGCACATAAATCATAGAAAAATTCAGTCTGTCAGGGGTCATAGATCTATAATAATACGTCATTAAAAAAGCTTTGGGTGGACTGACCTATGAGACAGTCTAGCACGACCTTAAGGGCAGGGCGGTGACGCAGGACGCGCTCGAGGCGCATGCGCGGCCAGCACACGCACGTGCACACCTCCTCTGCGATCACTGTCACCTGCATACACACAGACATTGGGAATGGTGAACTGTTATATAAAAAGATTAATGCAATCGAATTTCTACATATTTCGATAATAAAATAATCTTACTAATATAATAAAATTGTAACTACATGATTCCTGTATATGGGCGATATTTAAGAAAAATATATATGAGGGGTTTTAATAACTATTGGTTAAATTGTCAAAACAATATTTTTTGGAAACTTTTGTTTGTTTGTCTGTATGTTTGGTTTGAATTCGGTTTAAACAGCTGTGTTCCTGAAAGTCTATCTTAAAATCTGATATACGTTTTATTTTTTCTGAAATCCACGTATACGAAGTAGCGGGCAACAAACTAGCATACTATAAAACCATTAAATTAAAATTAAGAATTTGCGGCGGCTTGGTGGTTGCTTTTTTCATTTTTTGCATATAGATAAATTAATTTACTATGTATGTATGTGTGAAATAAACAACCCTTTTGGAGTCGAGTATAAAGAGACCAAATGAATGGACTGTGAAATTTAAAGATTTTGAAGTTCGTGTGCTTTACCTTTGAGCAAAGTTAAAATTCTACTCATTAGATGTAAGAAGCCTAACATTCAACGCTGTGCCGCACCTAGGGCGGTTCATAAATATATGCAGTTAGGTCCGCCCTACTTGTACAGTAAAATGCAATTTACCTAGTTTATAGAAGGGGTAGGGCGCTTATAGAGCTTACAAAATCTACCTACGTATTATATAATGATTCATGTAATTTGTTTATGTCCTCTATTTTAAAAAGTTATAAAACGGCGGCTTTTGTAATGTTAATGTTTCCATAAATTGATAATAAAATGCAATTCAAATTTAATAACTTAGATCATGTATGTTTCACTAATTTGTGAGAGATACATGATAATCAAACAAGGAATATATCATTTTAGTACGAGAGATAATCCTTAAGACAGCTCCATACAAGACAAAAAACGGATTAAGTGTTTAATTCAATGTATTGCTTTAATAAATGTGGAGCTAGGATACCTATGTATTTCATTAATAACTTTATTACCAAGTTTTCAAAATTTTGTCACGGCTATTCAATCTTTTAAAAATTGCAGTGTTACCATTTTCAAAATTTATTATCTAGTTTCGTTCAAATCTGTTTGTCATTTAAACGTGATTAAGTAATATAAATATATATCTTTACAAACTTATAATATTAGTACTATTATTTTATTATAGAAATGTCTCGTAAAACAGAAAAAGTGGGATGGGACATGCCACTTGCCGCTTTGAGAACTTTGCACTTAACTTCCTTTAGCATTTCCGTAACAAACACGGTAAAATTAAGCTAAATGTAAGTAGTTACATTACTCAATGTCGTGGAACGATACGCATAATTATGAATAACATTAAAAATTATGTCAATTACACGAAAGTGTAATAAACGTCTGAAAATTAATAGTACATTGTGTTACTTTGTTAACATGGTTTATTTTAGATAACAACATGTTTAACATATTTTATGAGTCTTTTTTATTTTATGTCTAATCTATCTCGATAGATTTAATTTTTTTCAGTAATAAACAATTATTTATTAACGAAGACGATCACAGACTTAATGAAAAATATGGATAAAATATAATTTATTACCTAAACCAATTTAAGGCAAATGTGAATAGGCTATCCCTGGGCCCGTGAACTCCATCTTAGTTATATGTAATAATATTATATATTTTTCCATGTTAGGTATTATAACATATTTCTTATCCTTTCTCCACATCGTCATTTACGTACTACAGATGAAATCCTGATTAACCGCGGGACCCTTCACCATTATAAAATGTGATCTCTGTGTATATTTATGTTTTAGTAAGTAGAAGGAAGCTAGATTGAAAGTAGATTGGAACCTTGTCTGTATTGAAGCAGAACAGATAAGAATAGGACGCCTGATGTTAAAATATGGATTCATCATCATCATAATAGACATTAACTGTCCACTGCTGAATGTAGGCCTTGATTATTATTATTATCGATATGAATTATTTTACCTTAAATGTAATCAATCTAACACTAGAAAAATTATGTTTGAAAAATATCAATTTGCAATGAGCTCGAATAGCATAACATGTATATTTACCTACCTAATGCAAAAAGAAACAAATTATAATTACGTAAATAGTGTAATAAGAGCTAAGGACTATTACAATAATATTATATTGTACTGAAATATAATTTCACATATTTTATACAATAATATAATAATTATTAATAATATTATATTATTAAGTTTAGACATACTCATGTGCTTTTTATACTCTCGAAATCGTTTTTTAAGTTACAATAAAGTCATAAAATTATTATTAAAATCATTTACTAATTTCTAGCAATAAATCTTCATGTTCTTCTTCATTCATCGGATTACTGTATTATTCATGAGGTAGCCCTGAATTATTTAGCGTAATCGTGCGCAGAATTACAATGAGATGTGTCAGTGGTAATGCTGTCGACCGTAACAGATAATGACAATGTTTGGGCCTGGAGCCCATTTCTGATCTGCAAATAATTTTGTAAGGATGTTTCTTCGATCTATCGATTAACCTACGAGAAAGTATATTTTGTACTGAATATTGAAGTGTTGAACACGCAAATCAGAATAATTATTTCTAACCATAATTTAATTTATGCACAGAAAAACCTACTTCAAACTTAACAGAATCATATGAACACTTTCATATTTCATATTTTAGATAAAAGAAGATCATTAAGCCGATTCAGAATTGTTTAACAATTAAAAAACAAGTTGTAAATATTTTAATAGCCTGAATAATAAATCGGTAATGTCGGTAGGTACATAAATTTATAAATAAATAAATAAACACGGTAATAGTGGAATAGGTAATAGTCATAGTAAGAAAGGTAATAGTAGAATAGGTAATAGTCATTGTAAAGTAGGTAATAGTAAAATAGATAATAATCATTTCTCATGCACCACTTCTAAAAATGCCTCTTATTCGTATATCAGCCTTCCTCTAAGATCACTGATTATGATTAGCTTGCAATTTAGAATCTCAGACTAAAAGACAACCTCGTATGCATTACTGCTTCATGACAAAAAAATATATATTACTTTAACCAGTATATGTATAGAAATAGAATATATTAATTGCTGAAATACCTGGAAGACATCGTCAGACTGTTCTCGGTTAGCTTCCCATTCTGGAGAATCTACGAATTGGTAAGGCTGGATATAGTGCAAGTGGGTCTCGTCACAGCTTACTCGCATCCTGCCAATACACAACACGTTTAACGCTATGCATAAAATATTTTTTTATTTACTTATTTAGTATCTTTCATCCACAATATTGTCCATATAACCGAAACAAATAGTAGTCTATGTCCTTTTCCATTTCAAACAGCACGTGTATTTTGTATACATATATATACATATTTTACAAGGATTAGATGAACCATCAAAGCATCAAGGAACAAAAAACACACTAAATTTTACATTTATAATATTAATAAAAATTAAAAAAATTATTGACGAACAGTAAAATATGATACAAAAGACAGATTTCTGCTGCCAGATTTATTTTCTATAGTATTAAATTTTTAGTAAATGAAAGGATTTTTTGGTACTAAATCTATAAATGATTAATAGGTACATAAATACTGTATTTAACTAATCAAAAACTATGTTTGTTGGAATTAAAATAAAAAATTCTGAGTGTAATGTAAATAATTAAATAAGTATTCTTACAATAATAAACACTTCATACAGTTTTCGAAGAAAATATTATTATAGTTCAGACCAAAGCAGCTGGCGCAAAAAGGTTGACACATGTTTCTCAAATAGCTTACTCGCGTGAAATGTGACTATTGCGTACTTTTTTGGTATATATGTGTGCTGTATGTATACATTCTGGTACGCAAATTTCTCTTTAAAAATATATAAATTCAATAATATTTAGCCGAAATAATATACACATTATTTGGGAATAACACAGAATTCAACAGTTTAAAAGCAAATCGTGTAGTGGCACTCAGAATTTTTTAATGAACAGAAAGTAATTAATGTACGAATATCCTAAAAGTATAGAATGAATGAATGTTGCAATCATGACGGATATTTCAATTGTACATAAAATTAATATGTTGCTCCGATAGTTCATTATGCAGTCAAGAACGCAACATTAAAAATGTTTCAAGTAACATGAGCGGTTTATGTGTACGTACTTTCCCTTTAGGAGTATGGATAATCTCTCATCAGCGGGCGTGACTTCCTCCACTGCGTAAGCTTCCCCTGGATCAAGTCGAACGATGCGCGCTTCTCTCGTTAGCTCTTGGAAGTGCTTTTTATTCACTTTCAAAGGCTTGAACAGCTTCAGGTACAGTTCAGTCAATTCCAGCGATAGCGCCGGCGGGAGGAACCTGGAAACATTGCATTGTGTTTTATTTCATGTACATTTTAATTTCTCACTTATAAATTCATTCAATCGAATGTCGAAGCTTCTATATAATAAGTATATATTAACACACAAAATACTGTGTATTATAAACCGAACTGTAAAGGCAAAGCCGTCACTAAATACAGAGTGAAATTTATTTTAAGGAAATGTTCTATCAGTAAAACTGATCATTTTTCTCAAAGACTATTTGAATATTGGACGTGCCGTGTCAGTGTAGTGTTCTTTTATAGTTATTGTGATTGAATTTCGATATCAAAATGTATTTCACTCTTGGCATATAAATTACCTTATTATTAAGAATATAGTATGTACAGAATTGACGAGAACGAGCGCAAGGCTCCATGCTAGTACGTCGGGCGTGCACACCTCGGCGCCAGCCCACATGCCCATCAGCACAGCGCCCGCCGCCGCCAGTGCTCGCAACACCAAGATACTCTGTTTGAAACTCTTCGGCGCTAAGAATGCAATTGCGAAGCACAGGTTTGCCGCCTGTATACAACAATATCACTTATAAATATCTATTTAAAATATTTAAAAGTATACAGATAAAAATATTGTCTATGTAATAAAACCAAGAAATGTTCAGCATTTTAATTCTCAAATGACACTTCAATATTTAAAAGAGACTCTTAATTTGTGATTTATATTAACTTATTCAACGAAGTATAAACTCATAACATACATGTTCCTCTATGCATATCTCTTATGAGTATTTTTACACAAATCTTTCATAGTATTATGCAACTGAGTCATATTAGGCAAAGAAGCCAATGACCCACCTGATAATCATAGTCTAAAGACATTCGAATTGGAGTGAAGCATTGTATAAGGAATTTATTTAAGAAAATAATATAATTGTTTAGAGATTACAAATAGCTCAACCTGAAAAAGGTCCTGTTGTGCACTGGTCCACTTGGCACAGAACCAGTGATTGTTGTGTTCTTCGGTGGAGCTCGCATTGAGCAGCTCGTAATCATTATCAAAGGTGACGTTGAGCCGCGAGACGTTGTACGCTAGCGTGGCGTTCAGCCAGGGCGCGGCGGACGCCGGCGCGGGCGCAGCGGGCGCCATGCTGCGCTCGCGCCCCGCCGCCCGCGCGCCCCCGCCGCCGCCCTCTGCGCGCGCCTCGGTCTTTGCGCGCCCCGCTCGCCGCTCACTCGACGAGGATGACAAGAGACGATTTAGTTGGGCTCTCGCTTTCAATATTACCAACTCCATCCCCACACCCTGGAACCCACCTCAAATACGAGCAACGGGTCCTTTCTATCTGTAACAAAATAATAGCTCCCATTAAAATAAGATACCTACGGCGTTTGCATAGACTCCTATGACGCTCTCATATTAATAAGAGCACGAAGACATATCTCTTGTTCCTCTATTCTTCCATTAAGTAATTTTTAATGTCTTAAAATAATCTAATGTTATTAATTAAAATAAAAAGGAAAAAATATATTTTTGTAGGAGTTACTTGTATATTACCATTGTTTTTAGATCACATCTAAAGATCTGTGTAAAATTTCAGCACGATCGAATATAAAAAATTTGTTAGTCATAATAACGTATGTTATAATATTATTCTATTGATCGAATTTGACTGTCAGAAAATACTCTAAATATCTAAATGTTTCATGTAGTAACAACTATTAGTATTCATTGATCCTAATCGAGGTCGCAAGGTGACTAAGTACAATCTACTGGAGCTACACTTATTATATTGTACCTTTCAAATCAAAGTATATCCGCTGTAATCTTCTTGTCTTATCAAACGTCAGGTTCGAGTACAATTTCAATTCAGTTTCAATTGTGATAAACCGCCTATAAACGAAAGACATCCTAAAATATTTATATGTCTATATTAGGATCGATACCTATCTCTCGTTCCTTAAATTATTCTAATGTATTTATTTTTAAACTTACAATTTTTTTGCAATATTGCCCTGTTAATAGAAAACAATAGCCATGTAGGTCACGACATAGAATAGGCCACCCCTTCCTTTCTCGTGAGTGTCGTAAGAGGCGACTAAAGGGCTTATGGTCGAGGTATGGGCAACAGCGGTCCTCTTAAAACATCACTAAAAGCCAAACTGCGATTGCCAATGGAAACTACTGGCAAACCCCCCCCCCCCCCCCCCCTTATAGGGAAGGCTAGGTTTAGCAGTGGACAGTTAACGATTGATACAATGAAAAACAATACTAATTTAAAATTTGAATAATTTTATGGTTGCTTCGATATAATGCACCGACACCAGTGTGTACAACCTCTTTTTATATTATATATTTTTTCATATAAAATAAAAAAAAAAACAATAAGATGAAACTAACCGAGGTATAATTCCTATGATGCCCAATAATTAAGTAAGTAGACGAGTATAATTATAATACATTAAATACACAGATAATCTGGAGATCATGTTTTATCTCCAAATATAAACGATAAGTGACGGTCTTCCACCGTGCGTTATACAAGGCACTTTTTTCCACGCATAACCACTCTTTGGAATCAACTTCCAGCAACAGTATTTTCGAACCGATACGACATCATAACCTTCAAGAAAAGAGCATATTCCTTTTTTAAAAGGCCGGCAACACACCTGCAATGCCGTTGGTGTTGTGGGTGATACGAGCGGCGGCAGTGACTTACCATCAGGTGAGCCGCATGCTTGTTTGCCCCCTGTGTTGTAAAAAAAAATAATATATACACACTTTTTTACTCCTCGAGATTTTATAACGATATATTTTTAAACAATTGTGTACATTCAAAAACATATGGTTAGAGATTTGAATGATCTCTACCAAATTTATAACAAAGAAACCTTGAACTTAAACGACCTAGACTGGTTATTGCCCTTTATTTTTCTAGCTATTTCTGACTCTTTTTAATGAATACATGAATACGACCTATAAGTACAATGGATTAGAAATCAATTTTTTATTGTATGTCAGACAATATTCTAAACAATTTGCGTATATCGATACGTTTACATTAATTTAAGATTTTGTTCATAAAAATATAGTGCCATCAAAACTGATGCAAAATTTGCTTTGAATATAGCGTAATATACTTGTACTACACAAGTATGTTACGCTATATTTATATTAGAAAGAAACGTTGAATTACATTTTCCTTCAAAGTTACTTAAAAATATTGTCAGTAATTATAATGGCCGTTGTATACTTTAGTCAATAAAATAAAATTATGACTTTTAAAATGTATGCTTAATTAAATGTATCTAGGTCACAAAAATCCTGCCACGGTTAGGCGATTATATCACAGTCGCGTAATCGCCGTAGTCTGTAGCCCGTAGCACTTGACTACGCGCTGCACGCCCTCCCGATATTACTTTTTCTATACTTCAAGGTTTTTTGGGGTATTTTCTCATGAAGTTTTTCGTTTCATCATGTTGTTCTATATTTATGTAAATCAAACTATTCTTGAATTAGTAGTTGATAAAATGATAATTTTGTCACATGGCACGAGTTTTGTCAATAGATATTGAAGATGATATTAAATGACATTTAACATTAATTTATTTACTATTCCAGAATTTGTACATACTCATAGAAATAAGTACATTTATATATAGTTCTGTAATGGAATTCAGTTAAAGTACGAAAAGTCGTCATCTTTATATTTTTAAACTATTTTTAATAGAAGTATAGTATATAAAATATTAGTTTCCTACCACAAAAAGTGCGCTACGTTGACACGAGATATTTCTAGAATACGAATATGTTGAATATTTTAATTATGATGAAGTATGCAGTTGTGTTAAGGGGTTACAATGTATATAATCTAAAACATTTCCTCAAACTACATACCTATCGCGGGGCCGCTATTAACCTGGCATATCCAGTCAGCAGTGGGAAATCATGGCACTATTGCACTACACTCCTGCTTCGTTATCGCGACATTTGCATTAAATTGCATTAACACAGGCCTGCACTACAAGTCTACTTTTGACGATACTGTGCTCTACTAAGACTTCTACCACGTATTGTTATCGAACGTGTTACCTATATAAACGTCGGCACCTAAATATACCGTAATTAAACCATCTTGCTTGATAATGATCTTTATTTTAGTTTATGTTTGTTTAGATTTTTAATTACATAGCATTCCGTATGAAAATTGCCGAAGCTGACTTTTGTTGGTATTTATTTATTAGAACTTTTAATTCATACTGAGTATAAAAATATTTGTGGCATTGGGTGTCGATGAAGCTACGAGTACAATTATTTATATAAGTTGGAAAATTAAAGTAATAATTGAAGTTTAATGATTTAATACGCACATATAAAATACACACACATAAATAAATTTAATTCTTAAAAAACAACAGGACACAATATCTTCAATTATAATACATTTTTTCAATGATACTTAAAATGACAAACAAGCTGATAGTTCATTTGAGGTAAAACTATAGACATTAACAGCACCATGGTTATTACAGAATACATTATTATCCTCATGTTACTCCTTATGAATTACTATCCCCGAGGATACGAAACAGCCATTCAAACACACTGGTTTATGGCAGAGTGTGATAGAGGTACCCATGCAATTGCCTTTTGTACAACGACTCCCTCTGATAAATGTTTTAATCATGTACCATATATTCTAAATATATATTAGTTAATAATTATTTCATAATTAATAGTAGTATTATTAATGCCATTTCCAGTGATGTAGCTAGGCGTGGGCGAAGTGGGCCCTCGCCCACGATCTCGCACTTAAAGGGGCCTCGCGAGGCCTCTTTAAATGTGATGCCACCAAATTTAATTTTCCCTTTTATTATAAAAATTAAATAAAAACTTAAAAAATATTGGCCACACTCGTCACTTTTCAGAACATAAAATAACAACAAAATATAACTCCTAGTTTTACTATATGAAATAAATACTAAGAAACAGTATGAAGCAGGACCAACGGTCTGCTTTAGCAATGCACTCAATTGAAACAGATTTACCTACAAAAATCAAATCAAAAGCGGAAGAATATTACTTTTGTAAAAAAATTTATCATTCAAGTTACAATATAAAACCTTTTTTCAAATCTATATGCTTTTCAATGTTCTCCCATCGCTCATTTATATTTTTTCACTATCATAAGTAAGTATGTTGTGTCGAAGTATGTTAGGTAAGATAGGTTTTGGTCTACCAAAAGTTTTCGTTCTAACGAAAGCAAAGGGGCTTCGCTGATGCGATTTTGCTCACGTCTACACTAGTCCATGCTACGCCACTGGTCATTTCTATGTTATTGTTTAACTGATTTTGTACTGAAAAACCATATAAATTATATTATGTAAGTATATGTTTATATTCTTATGATATTTATTAAGTTTATATACAAATATATATAGAAAATTACTTACTTGTGTAGCACGATTGACATTACAAAGTGGCTCCAGGGCTGGACTTAAAACGATAGCAGATTTAAATATTTTATTACTGAAAATGTAGAGACAATTTTTGTACTCTTTATATTCTCTTTTGGAAATGTGAAAGTAATAGTTTTGTTTATTGTGAATTCAATATTTGTTTTTTTTTGTATTAGTATGTTACGCCATATATTCTAATAATTCTAAATCGATTTTTATAATTCTTATAGAAATCGATAGATTATCTTCACTTTAGTATCAGTCTCATATAAATCATGTAACGAGATTTATAGGAGGAGTAGTTTCTCAACTCGACTGTTCGCCAATTCTGATATGACCTTATTAATTCTTTATGTAATCAATATAGTTTAATTTCTTTTTAGTCTCATGATTAATGCTGTCATTTATTTTTACTGAACACGCAGAATCGTAACAAACATCCGTAATACGCAAGACTTTGCTTGTTATTGAGCAAAATATATTCTTAATAGTTACACTTTCCAAATGAAAACATTTTAAATTATATATACGGAACATGTTATTGTTCATAATTTTATTTATTTTATATTATAAATATTGGTTTTATAATACTAGGCAATATTCATTTTGCCATGTTAAAGTCGTTGTAATTCCAGTAACGCTCATTTAGAATTCTTATTGCGAATGTCACTCGTGCCTCAATTGTCCCGGACTACGGATAATTTTTAATTAAAGTTTTAAGTTAGTGATACTTAACAGATTTGGGTAAGTAGTTAAAACAAGGAGACGTGATAAAATCACTGAAAATTCAATTGCACAATAACATTTTAACAGTTTAAGGCTGCTATTTTTATTTAATACTTATAGCATATTCGTAATTAAGACAATTCTAACAAAATTCTAACAA